AGCACTCGAAAGAGGGTAAAGAATATGATTGCTCCTATTTGGCATAAAATAATTTATATATATATTTTTTCAAATGATTTCAATTTCTTCACAATCGATATACTCATTGTAAAGGGGAAGGATGTTTTCTTAAATTTGAACTTTTTGTCACAAAAAAAAATGTTTAATTTTTGTAATTTTACTTTGGAAAATTTAGAATTTAGTTTAGTTTAATTTTTGTATTCTTACATCTGTATTTTAATTAGCATTCACTTGAGTAGTTAATTTTCAAACTTCGCACTTTACTTTTACTTTTGTTTTTGTTTTTGCTAAAAAATAATTTTCATAATTTACTTTAGGATTTTCCAATTTTCCTGTGGAATCGATATCTAGGACTCCATTAGAGCCCTTCATTACTTGAGCGATACGTATACTTGCGTTGATATTAAAAGGGATTTAGCAATTTAAAAAGAGTTTTAAAAGATAAATAATTTACATAAAGAGTATTTTTGTTGGGATTATATTGCATATTTATTATATATCTGTCGTGTGTAATTTTGTAATATTGAAAAATATTTGCAAAATTGTCACACTAAATCTCCCCGCATCAGTGCCACCTCAACCACAGCATCTCCGAAACCTCATGTGGCGCTTTCCTATTGGTTGCACGTTACGCCTCAACCACCCATCTCCTTGTGGTATGGGGCCTTGTACCGGTTCGATCCACCATTTGATTTGATTTGTGCATTCACTTTAAATATACGTGAATGGACGACATCCATTCATCGTCCAAAATGAACCTTAACTCGAGAACTATCCACACTCTAGTGTTAATATCTCTCTCGATACTTAATCAAATTCAAAACAGATTGTTCATTTAGCTTCATCTTATTGAGATGAACACATTTATACGACTAAGTAGACATGGATCATTCATTCCATTCATAAAAAGACCAAAACCAAGAGAGATTTTGGGATTTTTTAGCTATACCTTGGCCGAAGATGTGAGGCCTCAATTAGGTTAGTTGAGAAGCTTTGCCTTGACTCCAACAACCTCCTTAAAGTGTTGGTTTGCTCAATGGATGGTTCTAAGTATGACTCAGACCAAATGATGGATCGGATTTGGTCTAGCACGAGGTTAGAAGCCTCAAAAAAGTGGTATTTTGATTGAGGAAGTGGTTTTGAGGTGTGGGGAGGCTTTTGGACCAATCAATCTCGAGTTTTGGTGTAGTTGATGAAAATGGACAAAAATGCCCTGAATTTCAGTGGAGAAGTTAGGGTTTTGAGGTGGGGGAGAGTGGCTAAAAATAATGGGAATGAGCTTCCTGCAAGTGTGAGAAGGGTTTGGAGCAATTTTGGCAGAATTTCCCTAAGGTTTGTGCATGTCCCTTCTTTGGCCGTGAAAGGGGTCCTTATAGGGTAGACCATGGTGGTCAATTGGCCAAGGTCAGGGGTCCAAGGTGGCGCCTATGTAGAGAAAAGACAAGGCTAAAAGTTCAATGGAAGTGAGCCACATTGGATGGGCTTAATTTTGAGTTTTTCCCTCTTGGTGGCTAATAGGTTTGGAAAGTTCTGGGGGCCATGGTGGTCGACTAAGCCATGAGAGGTCAGCATTTTGCTGATGGGAGTCAGAAGTGGAGGATTGTGAAGTCAATTGGGTGTTGACATGTGTACATAGCTTGAATTGAAGTAGAGTGGATTTGACTTGATTTTAGGGGGAATTTGGGTTTAAGTCATGTATTTGGGTTAAGCACACCTCTTAAGGCTAGGGCTAGTGGGCAACTTGGGGGAGTGAGTGGACAATTCCCCATCATGAGCTTAGGGCTTAATTTTGGGTTTAAGTGAATCATTGTAGTGGTTAAATGCTTTTTGCCAAGAGTGAAAAGTACGTCCCCATTTAGTCATAAATGGCAAGGTGGTTCACATGAGGCTTTTACAAGGCTTCATGGCTTCCATATGGCTTGGATGAAGCCATTTGGCTTGCCCATGGCTCATGGATAGCCAACATGGCTTGCACTAATGGAGATGGATGAGAATTTCAAGTCTTGAGAGGATTTTTTATGACTTCCAAACTTAGCCAATTCAATCATGGAGTATTTCACCATAGGTTTAATCAAATCAAATGTGGGGGCTGATTTTTTTTTGTCATGTGGACTTAGGTCTAAACGGATATAGAAATTGGGTGTACTTTGGTGGGCTTTTGGCATGAGTTAAGAGAGGTTGGATTCCTGGGCTTGGATGATTTATTTTAGGTTTGAGATTAATCATGATGGGCTCGATGAAACTTTAAATTTCTAATGATGGAATTTTGGACATGAGTTTGGTGAATTTGGATTTTGGCATGAGGATTCAAATTTTGATGGATTTTGGACTTGGGGTGGACTTACGTGGATTTGGATTTGAGCTTTGGTGAATTTGAATTAAAGCTTGAAATTTGGTGGGGTTGGACTTGATTTTTTTTTTTAATTTTGTTGGATTTGAGGTGAATTTGAAGTGGATTTGACGATTTTGGCAACTTTAGTGAAAATCAGAGTAATTTGGAGAATTTTGGTGAAAACTAGAGTAATTAGGTAAATTTGGGAATTTGGGGTGAAAATTGAGTGATTTGGGTAGTTTGGAGAAATTAGGACTATTTTGGGCATTTTTTGTAATTTTGGGTAAATTTGGTCATTTTAGATTTTGAGTGGATTAGAGTTGTGATCGAGTGTGATGATGTGTATGGTGAGGTGTAAGGGTGTGAATGGCTAAGTCACCCAAGGTGTTCCTCAAGCCTCATGGTCCTATTAGAACTCTTCATTGAGCTTCCTCATGTTGTTCTTAACCCTCTCAATCAAGTGTTGAGGGTTTGAGACTACCCATGTGAAACTTCATAAAAAGAGCCAAGAAGTGGTTAGCACTCCTAAGAAGGTGGGTCCCATCACCAGTCTTCTATAATAGTCAATAGGAAAGTTCTATGGCTAGATCCTAAGTTCTAAGAGAAGAATTTAGACCTCACCAAAAGTGAGGTCCACATAGTATTATATAACGAATTAATCTTTTTGACGTGTAGAATTTTATAAAATTACTTCAGTTGAAATCGAGGGATATGAAATTTGGGGTACATGTTAAAACTTTTACTAAATTTCACAAAAATGGTTATTGCAATTGGATGAAGCTCATAAAATTTTAAATATGGAGTTTCTTAGGGATAAAGAAACTAAAAAGGTGTGGCCCTTATAAGGATCATATGTTCAGAATGTGTTGAAAAAAGTTGAGGTTGATGACTCGGGCAAGGCATTGAGTATACCCATTACATCTTACTTTTAATTGATTTCATATCAATGTTCTAAATATGATTAGGAGAGGAAAGATATTTGATAGGTTTCTTATGCTAATATGACGGGCGGTCTGATGCATGTCATGATTTGTATTATACTAGACATTGTACAAGCAGTTGGTGTTTTGAAAGGTTCATGCATGATCTCAGAATGAGTCATTGACAGTCTGTAAATAGTATTTTAAGACATCTGAAGGGTACATTTGATGTCGATTTGGTGTTTTAAAGGTAGTTATATATTACTAAGTTGTGTAGGCTACACTGATTTATATTATGCATGTGATATGGATAAACATAGATCTATGACTGGCTATTTATTCACATTGTTAAAAAATCTGGTCTGTTGGAGATCGATTCTTTAGTCAATTAATGATTTGTCAACTATGGGGTTGAGAACATGTCAATCACAGAGGTGAAGATGGAAGCAATATGGATGTAGGACCTATTAAATGATTTGGGAGTTCAACAGAAGTCTCTGAAGGTGTTCTGTTGTAGTCCGAGTGTGATATTCTTAGCCATAAATCCAATTCATCGTGCCTGTATCAAACACATTGATGTGACTTTACCACTTTATTTCGAAGTTGATTGATTATGACGATGTTTTATTAAAAAAGATAGATACGAAGGAGAATGGACAAACTCACAAAGGTACTACAAATCCAAAAGCTCATCTATTGTACAAGTATGGTGAACATCTAAGCTGATGGTTGATTGCTCATTCAAGCATTTTGAAAAACCATGCAAGGTTTGATCTCTTCGAGAGAGAGGCACGTAGGCAACCATCTTAGTGTAGTCGTTTTGATATTGAAGCTCATTTTGGTCATCACCCACATATTTGGAAGTGAGAGATGAGGTAAATATTGTTATAGAAAGCATTAAATCTAGTTGTTGTATACTAAGAAATGTGTATATTATGAATATTGATATTAGATATTTTAATTAGAGAAGATCTAATTACATGTTCTTTTCTATAATAGGAAAATTGATATTAGGTAATTTAATTTGAGAATATCTAATTACAAGATCTTTTCTATATTAAAAATATTCTTAATCTGTATGTTATAATTCTCTTAATTATAGAAAAGATTATGGCTGATTTCTATGTTTGAAGTTGTAATTTCAACCATTTTTTTCTTCTCCTACCCGTTGATACTGGAATAACCCTCCTTGTGGACATAGCTGAATTTTCGTTGAACCACTAAAACACTTCATGTATGATTGTTTGCTTGTGTGATTTTATTTTTCACATTATTTTGCACAACATAGCATACTCACGTCAAAGTTACTCAACACTAGTTGTTCTCTTCCCCATATAAAACTAAAAAACCATTAAATTTATTATGTTAGCACATATACTTAATGTTTAGAAAATTAGCTCTTAAGTTTTATAATAATATTTTTATGTAGAATATGATGTTGACTATGGAGAGACTTTGAAATACATGTTAAGCTCACAAAAAAATCTAGAGAGGCAACTATGTTGGAGAGCTAAACAACAAAACATATTTGGATGGTTACTTTCCCAAGCTAATCATGGTGGAGCAATGTAGGCGACTTTTTATAAATAAACAGAGTAAAAGCTGAAAATAATTGGATGAACTGCACAAATCAACCTACTTTAATGCAGATCAATCTAATATTTTTAATAATAATGTCATTGTAATTATGTCATTTGTCATTTGTGCAAAGATATCACAGAGCCCTGTTATTTAATAAAGAATAGCATCTTAAATGAGGTTATAATTTTCCTTTTATAAACGAGATTTTCTTACCAAGACATAAAGAGTCATTCACACATATCAATTCGTTTCCTGGCATGAAAATAACTTTGATGCTACCTCACTTTTTCTCTGCTTCCCTTCCTTTTTTGATCTCTCCAACCAACACTTTTCCCCACCACAAAACTTCTCAACTTCGTCTTCACCTCTCAGTTCTTTCTTTGCTAGAACCTGGCCTTTATAAGAAATACATTATCCAACATCAACGAATTTTATTTGAATTAGAAAAATGTATTACAGTACAAGCTCATGTACAAAATTCCGATTTGGCAATCAGAGCAAAATCCATCTTGAAAAAATGAACGACTCGCATAATCACCGAGACTTCTACTACAAAATGATCACATTACATGTTGGATTAGCTAACGATGACATTGATCATCTCTGTACTTCGGCTAAAAAATGTTTTCCTTTCGTCATTAGCATATGGCATCTCCATGAAGGGAAAATGGCAATCAACACAAGTCTGCCCCAAGCAAATTAAAGTAAAGCATCACAGGTATTGCTTCAGGCTTTCGCCACTAAGGATCTCCATTTCCTTCAGAATATCCTGTGCCAATGTCTTCACCGGAAGCTCCACATCTTCTAGCAGTTCACCCAAGAAAGGAATTGTTTCAGCTAGGAAAACTAAGTACTCCTCTCTCAAGTGTTCCACTAAGTATTTAATCACCCTTAAACCAAGAATCTTTGGCCGAACTTTCTCATTCCTCGTCTGCATCAGCACCTGCATAAGAAGGAATTCCAGATCAAGTCGCCATTTTCGGCTAAGCGTATTTTGCATGGAAACAGAAAATTTGAATGGAAGCAAATTCAACCCATCAACATGGATGCAATCAACAATGGAAGAAGTTTTTCTTTTTTATTTTTTTTATTTTTTTAGGCGATTTAGATGCATACCACCCAATTCTATGCATGTACATATCTAACACCTAAACTTTATATTTTACATTTATACAACCCAAATTAAGTGTCGACCATCTGATGATCCGATTAGGAGAGTAGATGTTTTAGATTCGACTTATGTTAAGAAAGGCAGAGGTAGACCTAGGAAAACTTGGGCTTATTGTATAAAAAAGGATCTTATGTTATTAGAACTAAAAGAAAATATGACACTAAATAGGACGCAATGGAGAAAAAGAATTCATGTAGCCGACTCCACGTAGTGGGATTAAGGTTTTGATGTTGTTGTTGTTGTCGTATACAACCCTAATAGTTCATATCACATGAAAAATACCACTTTTTTAACTTTAAAAAGTGAAGTACACCATTTTCAAGCATGGATGAGATGGCGTATATGTAAAAACTGAAGTTCAGGAGTTAGCTACGTAAATATATAAGAATTGAGTGGTACGCATGCAAATTTTCCCTTTTTTTTTTCTTTTTCAAGCTTTTTTCAGCGTAAATGCAGCCAAATTGACTGCACTACTTGGGTTTTGAGAAGGAAATGAAAAAAAATATTCGATTAACAATCAGTCAACAAGATTGATTCTATTCATTTTACAAATACACTTAATTCACAATAAAATTCAGCATCTGTTCCATCCGAAGTTTGCAGCAAACAAAAATAAAGTTCGCAGCAAATAAAAAAATATAAATTGAATGATTAACTACTTGATTGCAACAGTTATAATCGCAGGGATGCATTGAGACAATGTGCAGTTGAGTTAAGTTGACCAGTGAGACAACAGAAGACTAACAGAAAAGGGATGCAGCTGTACCTCATGGTTAAGTGGCTTCCATAGAACATCAGATTTAGCTGTAACAGCCATCTGTCCCAAACATAAGACCAGGTGTTCATCAACATCCTCAACAGTGGGTAAATCTGGGTAATCATTCAATATGGAGGGTGGTTCCACATCAAGCTGAGAAATAATCGGTTTCAATAGAACCTGCAAAAGAGAAGTTAATAAATAAATGCATAAATTTGACATGCATCAGATGCTTATACTGACTAATCAAATTTAATAGAAAGACTTTTTAGGAGTGATTTTGAAAATTCTCTCTATAGGATCAAATTATCGTCCCACAAGGATGCATCTAAATTAGATATTCACGAAGAAATAGCCATCTTATTAATAATCTAGCAGAAGTGATACTTCTAAAAGCTTAAAAAACTACCTGAAAGTTTGAGGCATCAAGAAATTTAGAATCTATTGTATCGTAGAGGAAACAATGATAAAAAGCCTTCAAAATAAGAGCTCTCAGATGCCATAACTTTGCTGACAAGTCAACTTTAGCATTTACACTGGTGTGTGAGTCCTGAATCTTAGCCTTTTTCCTCTTTTGAGTTAGATAACTCGAATCCACAACTTCATCTATACTTAGATAACGTGTTGAACTCCCAAGCAAATACTTGAAGTAAGGTACAAAGAGGGATCTGCATTTAGATAGGCAAAGGATGACAAGTCAGATACGAAAAGCAAAATCCCTCTCTACCATAAAGGAATAATAAATAACTCTTAGAGCTACATTTAATGATATCTTAAATATTAAAAATAAATAAAAATTACTAATTTTCTATCGTATAAATTTGATGATACTTGAACAAAAACATTTAATAACTAAACGTGAAAATGACAACTTGGAAAATCTTGTATGAAGCACAGTACTATGGCATTCCAAAACAAAGAAACCGAAAGACCAAGCTAAGCTGCAATGCGACGAGAATCAATTGAATTATACATAGCAATGATAACAATGTGCAATATGACAGCATCTATCCCAGCAAAAAAGAAAAAAAAAAAAGCTAGAAAGCTAGAAAGCTGAAGGGCTGCTAGGGAATAGAAGAAAAACAGGCAATCTTTGATAAAAAGGTAGTTTCATGACAGGTAGTTTCATGACATACACAACAAAAAAAAAAACACTTTTTGAATAAATTGCTACAAAATGCTTGCTCGCTGCAGTGCAACTATGTAATCAGTTCCAATATTATGTGACTCGACGTAAAGAGTACATTGCATCAAATACCAATTCTCAAAACCCCAACACAAACAGGGAGGAAATTTCTTTGCAAAATCTGAGTTTGATGTACGAATAATTTGAAAAGAAGCATTATAAAAAGGCAATACATAGCATATCCAAAAGAGAATAGATTTTATAGGTTAAGAAAATCCTCATCTCGTCACCATGAAAGCAATAAATAAAACACTTCAGTAGTAAAACCTTAAAACTCTGGCATAAGGCGTAATAAAAACAATCTACAAAAAAGATGTGATGAAACCTACTTACAAACACATTTAACAAAACTAGAAGTACAATACAAGTTTCCAGAATACCAGCACCAACACAAACTTCACAGAAATGCGAGGTCCACAAAGTAGAATTAAAGCCAACTTTCAAAGTTAGGGTATTTAACAATGAGAAGACCACTAGCTTAAACATTTTTTTAAACCTTCACGCATTTTGCAAAAATGCATGCACAGATGAGTTGTCAAAATCTTGACTGATTGAACTATAGCTTTTGCAAAGTTCCTATAAATGAACTAGAAGAGTTTTCTAAAGAAGTTTACCTATGCTGCTGAATAAGTTTATTCACCAAACTGTAGAAGGAAATAGATCGGTCTAAACTCATACTTTTAGTAGGCTGATTTACTTCAAGTTCTGACTCTGCCCACTCTAAAGTGTGAAGGAACAATGGCTTAAACATAGTCTCTGTTAGTCTCATGGTCAGAACAACCATGGTGTGGATAACACTTTGCTCCACCATGTTGATGTCTTTAACAGACTCTGGCACTTGATGGCGAATATTAAGCAAAGCTAAGCATTGTTCATATATTTTCAAATGATACAAGCTTATAGAAGATCTATCCATTTCACCAATTATGTTTGCCAGCATTTCAAAAACCAAAGATAAGCTCGATTCTCCACATCTAAGAGCAGTTTCAATAATTTTTAGTAGAGGCGGAAGTATGAGGCGAACCTAAAACAGTCACATTTCCATTAGAAAAACCAAAAAAAAATAATAATAATAATAAATTTAATGAAGTAACAAAGACATAATTAGGAGAGCACATACTGGAATTTTTTCAGTTAGAAGTTTTCGCACAACAGCAGCTTTTGACTTTAACTTAACATCTAAATCTGAAACAAATTCAGGATGAAGGATGATGACATCAAATATGTCATCCAGATATGGATTTAAGAATCCACCAAGATTCGTTATAACCGCTTCCAATGCAGAAAGAGTAGACAGTAAAACAGGTACTTTATGAATTTCAATTCCATGTCCATTCTGTTTAGATTTAAGGCAAGGACATCTAGAAACTTCATGAACTTTTGTGAAGATATGTTTAATAATGGAAGAAAGTTGTTTAAGAGCTTGAGAACCAAGTACTCCAACCAATGCACCGGTGCTACGAATAGAAGCAGAAGAAAGAGCCAAATCAGAGGAATTGATCTCCCCCATAACACATTGAAGGCATGCACAGAAAATTGGTTCATTAAAAGGCAACTCCTTCGCAAGGGTTTCAATAGAGGAAATTGCAGCCAACTTCACTGGAATGTGTGTTGTAGAGCTGGAGATTAGTTGATTAATTTTAGAACAGAGCTCGATGAAAGATGGCACAGCATGGGCAGTAATCTGAATTGTGAAAGGAGTAGGATTCATTTTTCTTTTGGTCCTCACCATATTTTTCTGACCAGGTGCTTTATCTTTAATAAATTCACATAGCAAACCAAGCGTCTGTGCATTATAGCAGAAATGAACAGTCAAATAGACAAATCATTTGTTAAAATTTTGTATGGTTATCACTAAAATTTCATGAATAAAAAAGACAAAGCGAGAATAAAGAGAAAGATGGTTAAAAGATGATAAATATTACCTTTTTTATTACTTTCCAATCATCTCTACCCAGCAATTGGATAATGCATTTAAAGAAAGTTTCAGGGTTCATCCATGTTGTTAAGTTCTTAAGAATTTGGCTGATGCACTTCCTTATTTCCTTCATAGCTCTTTTAGAAAAGCCAAGTTCTTTGCCCCTAACAGTAAGAAGTTGCAAGTGCAACACAACTTGCTCCATAAGTGCCCCAAGGGTGCCCTGTCAAAACAAGTAAATGCAATATGTTGGAGTGATAAGTTTGGAACTTTGACGCAAACTAATAGAAATTACAAAGCAAAAACTGCGTGAGATTGGGTCTCATTTTTAACAAAACAGAGGTTCGATCAGAAGACCTAACCAATATTATAAAAAGAAATAGGTGTTGTTCCTCGGTCATGTGGAAGCATGGTCTTGACAGCCATCAGAAACACAAAATATTAGAATTAAAAAAAAGCTAAAGGTTTTGGAAGTGGATCCCTTATTCCTTAACTATTTTGCAATGGTGATATAATTGATCAATTGCAAAATATGAAAGTTTCTTTGATCTCGCGCTTCCTATTGGGTGATTCTTAAAAGTCATATTCGTTTATTCCGTATCCATTTCTTATTCTTTTAAGTGTTCCCCAAATGTAAAACGCAACTACCTATTTTTCTTGCAATGAACATTACGTTAGAGGATGTATACAATTCAACCTATGCGGCCAATTTGCACCTTCAAAATAATCTGCTTGCATATAATAGATTACATTGCATTATCAGGGCATTATGCTCTCATTAACAGATATTTATAATCCTTTAATTATTGATAACTTTTCTTACAAATTAATCATATTTATGCTGGCTCAGAAAAATTAACAAAACACTATCCTTGGGCTAACTGATAATTATCAGGTAAAAAATAAGTAATATGAGACTAAAATATGCACCACTTTCATCTAAGTTCAAAATTCGAACTATAACATGTTCAATTGATATTACTTGCTAGCAATAATTCCACCATTTAAAATTAAGTTGGGTTAACAAATTCTGTCTGTTGGCTAGAATTCAACTAAGATAGGGAAATAAACTATAAAGTTTAGTAAATACATGCAAAACAAATGCGGTTAATTTGGCTGCCTTTACATAGATTTGGTGATAATGAAATATAAAGCAGCTTCATTAACTTAAAAAATCAAACATCACTACCATGGCATGTAAATATTTTACAACTTTCATTTAAACTAAGCAGCTAAATTCAACTTTAATCCCCAAAACTACATTGGGTCTCAAGAACTTAAAATTCTATGTAATAACCTAAAATTTCATAAAAGTGATGAGAAAACTTCCCCTAAAAATTATTTTTATAAATTTTAAATTTTATTTTGATTATTTTGATACACAGAAATATACATAATAAAGTTATATTTTAGAAATTATTAATTAATTTCTTACTAAACTTTTTAACTAATTATATTGTTCAGTAATTTAATATTTATATACTGCAGCAGTTCCTCTATTCCTTGAAATGTTTCATTTTGCATTAAATTAAAAAAGGAGAACGTAAAGTTACAAAAATACACTATCAAGCATTTACAAAGTGGGCCTTATCATCTCTAATAAGAAAAAAAATTGACTGTCATAAACATTTTTCAAATAAAACTATCCTGCAAGCCTATCAGAGCACAATGATGAGCTGCCCTCTTGTTAGTCCTGGCAATATGACAAAAAGAAACTTGCATGAATTGAGTTAAGAAAAGCGATATCTGGACTTTATTGGATTGTTGCTGCCAGCCTTTCCCTTCCATAGTGTGCTTTGGCAGTCGTTAAACAAATCGTTGATATGATTTATGGTTCCAGCCTCCAGGATTTATGAGAAAATTAATTTAGTTTATATACTGTGTATTACATTATTTATACTTGAGCCATTCATCCATTCACTAGTTTCCTTATCACGTTATTGTGAGCTGCAGGTGGAAACAGAAGGAAAAAGGGAGTTCTTGAGTAAGGAAGACACAATAAAAAAGAAAATAAGGGAAGAAGAAAAGAAGAGAATATGAAAAGAAGAAAAGGAATAAAAAAATGAGGAGTAGGAAAGAATAAAGGAAAAAAGACAAGCTAGTTCTAAGAAAGAGTACAGAAGAAAATGCAGAAAAAAAGACAAGATGAAGAAAAAAATGAAGGCAAAAGAAGCGAAAGAAGAAGACAAAAGGAGAGAAGCTAGGAATCAGGTAAGCATCTTATTTTTCCTGTTTGTAGCCTTAAAGGCTTGAATAACAAGGAATTCCTTTCGAGTTAAAAATGCTATTTGAAATTAATCAATTTACTTCAAGTTATGAAATTCAGAATTTATATTTATTGATAAAATTAATATTTTTATTAGGACGAATGAACAAGAGCTCAAGAAAACAAAAATAAGAAAATCCTTCACGAGGAATATCCTACAATATTGTTGTGATACTCAACACTTCATAAAAGCCAAAAATAAATCTTAGGCTGAATGTTTATAGAATTTCTCCATATTAAGCATGTCATTATCACCGAACCATGCCAATAGAATTAGTATATTTTCATGAGATATAAATTAATTCACTTTTAAGATTATTTCATATTATGATGCATAACATATCGTATTTTATTTCGATGCTTGTTAATATAGATTGATTGATAACAGGTGCATATTAGTGTCAAGCATTCTAAAAAGGTTTATAATAATAATCAAAAGAAAATAAGTTAATAATGATGAGAGCTGTCAGTGGAGAGATGAAAGATTCGACAAGAAAAACCTCAATACAGGAAAAAAGGTGTTCTCAAATCTCGCTTTTAAAAGATGATGGGTTGGATTAGCCTTCAATTAGGGGGTCATTGATAAAGGTTTGCAGACAGGCTTATCGATGGCTTAATTAAAATCAGCCAAAGCTTATACAGATATCAAATAACATTTCTAACACAATAAATAGTAAAAAAAATGAATTTTTTTTTTGAAAATGAAAGCAAGTAATTTCATAACAGCAGTTGACTAATTATACCACATTAAATGATAAATTTTAAAAGATGTGTTTTATTTCATTAAAATTGATCTACAAAATTTGTCATGTTTATAATTAATAATTTTTATTTGAGTTCCAAAGATAAGCATATATTTTATTCCATGTATTTTAAATCATAAACTTGAATTTTTTTATCCTACTTAATTTTTAGCTTATCATATATTAGGATGACAAATTTTACAGGCAAGGGAAAGACGTAAGTGGGGCCGTATTCAACTGACCCAATTTCTATCCTGTATTTTAAAATGTTATGTCTTGTTTTAGATGTATGATAAAAGAAGATGAGTTTATAACATGTCATTTTAATCTGACAAGGGGCATAGTAATGAGGCTTGGCATTCAATACTATCTAATCCATGCGCTTGGCAATCTATCTAATGCATGCATGAACGCATGTGTGTATGTGTGTGTCTATATATGTGTATATATATCTATATCTTTAAAAACCTTCACAGCATATATTTAGAAATATGACGCAATTACAACAAAAGTTAGAGCTGTACCTGAATATAACTTGCATCTCGTCCAGATTCAAGGTCAAAAACAAACTCGGTGTCTCTTAATTTCCCAAGGACAAATTGCAACGCCAAAAATAGCTCAGTGAAAAATCCTTGCTGTTTGCTGCTATATTCAATCTCTCGCAACAGCTTTACTAGCGAAGGAAGCCATATTTTGCTAGAATACTGATTACAAATTTGTAAAGCAAACGTGTATTCCCATTCCTTAAAAATCATGGATGATGGAGACAATAAATCACAGAAATTTATTTCAGAATAAGAAGAGGTTATATCAAGGCGTAGAGTCAACGAATGGAAAAGGTTATAATATAGTATGCCTAAGCTATCTTTCTCTCCCAAAATCCTGAAAACAGAACAAAGCAGAATTAAATTAAGCAACTTTAACAAAATAGTCCCCCAACAAATAAAAAATAAACAATAACCTGGCAAGATATACTATGACAGCCATCCGTCGGTTCTCAGCAATATCTGGCAAACCTTTTATAAAAATCTGGAGAGTGCATTTACAATTCATATATAAAATTAAAATAAATTTATCCATGGATAGGAACTTTTCTGACAAAATGTATAGTTCAAAACCTGGAATAACTTTCCAACACTGCGAGTTCTAGCTAGCCAACAAGGGATGAGCACTGATATCAGATTCTCCAAAACTTGTTGAGAATGATAGTCACTCTGACAGCAACACAAATAGAAAATCATAATTGATAAACAATATTATTAAAAATTTTACTGAAAGAAAATAAAATAATAGGAATATATACATTCAACCTTATTTGCATAATCAGTTGGGACAAAGAAAATTTGATGTATATAAAGCATTGCAATGAAAATGTAAAAATAGACACATCGTCCTAGAAAGATTCCATTTTACTTATACCTTTGCTTTTGAAAAATATTTTAATATTTGATTAGCAAATCAAAATTAATAATGTAACACCCAATTTTAGCAATTAGGTATACCCAAATTTCTACATCCCTCCGAATTCAAACGAATCAATTTATAAAATTCTACACATCGAATCAATTGATTTAAGAACCAAACATGAATTTTTAACAAATTAAAAGATATAAAATTATAAAGTTACAAGTTTAATTATCCTTAATTAATCACTTAATTAACATTCTTAATCGTCGGATCACTGTCCCTACCGACGGTCCCTGCACTTAACCGCGCATGCAATGGCTGGATATGATCGAACGGAGGAGATTAATTGGGATCAAGTTTATATGCCATATCCCCCCAATTCCCTCTCCCCCGTCTCTTGAATTCACTCTGTTCAAGGGTCCAGCTACACGAGCACTATAGCAAGGCGAGCTGCGCAATCAGCAAGCGACACTTACGAGTTCCGAGGAAATTTCTAGCAGTAAGAAACTCTCTTTCACGATATTATGAGGATTTTTTTCCTTCCATACATTTCCATTTTGAAATTTACTATGAATTCAAGCATTCTTTGTGATTCCTGCCACTACAACTGGGCGGGAACTATTGCAGGGCCAGTGAATAGAGAGTTGAACGCTTAGCTAGGTCCAATTCCACGGGTAGCAGAGAAAAGACAAGAGAAGAAGAAAAATGATGGAAGAAAGAAATAAAAAAAATCGTTAGGGATGATTTATGCAGAGAAGTCTATTTGAAATAAAAAAATTATGTTTGGAGTTCAATCACGAAATGAGATAAGATTTCAAGAAGTACTAAGATGTTTATGAATTTCAGAATAAATTTAATTATCCTTAATCAATCCCTTAATTAACATTCTTAATCCTTGCATCTCTGTCCCTACAGACGGTCCCTGCACTTAATCGCGCATGCAATGGCTGGATATGATCGAACGAAGGAGATTAATTGAGTTTAAGTTTATATGCCATATCCCTCTAATTCCCTCTCCCTCGTCTCTCGAATTCACTCTGTTGAAGGGTCCAGCAACACGAGCACTATAACAGAGCGAGTTGCGCAATCAGCAAGCGACACTTCAGAGTTCCGGGAAAATTTCTAGCAGTAAGAAACCCTCTTTCACGATATTATGAATATTTTTTCCTTCCATACGTTTTGAAATTTACTACGAATTCAAGCATTCTCTGTGATTTCTGACACTACAGCTAGGCGGAAACTATTGCAGGGCTAGTGAATAGAGAGTTGCAGGCTTAGCTAGGTCCAATTCCACGGGTAGCAGAGAAAAGGGAAGAAACGAAGGAAAATGATGGAAGAAAGAAATAAAATAAACCGTTAGGGATGAATTATGCAGAGAAGTCTATTTGAAATAAAAAAAATTATAGGGAGTTAAGTCACGAAATGAGAGAAGACTTCATGAAGTACTAAGATGTTTATGAATTTCAGGTTAACTACAATAGGTGGCGAGCTTGGCAAAACTCGCAGGGTTGTTTAGTCGATTCATGCGAAATAATCTTGGGTTAACTTAAGAAAAAATAACTGTAGGTTTCCATGTGATTACATGTTTAACACTATTACATCTAGAATAATATGTATATTGTGAATGAATATATGCATAACTTGTATGAATGAAAACTTGATTTTTCACTAAAAATACTTATTATTTTTATTATGTTATGAATTTGATAAATATAATTATAAAATTATTATTTGCAAGTATTCATATACTATCATTTATGAATATGATATATGAAATGTCTATGATGAATGTTTGTTGTCGTAATCATGGTTTACAAAATATCAAAAGTGATCTTATAGGCAAGTTATTACATGAATACTTGCATATATGAATGCTAAAGAACGATGGGACTCTCGACTTCTAGCATTTAGATGGAGATAAAACTCTGGAAACAGTCGGGATCAGACAGCAATAGAACTTAGAGAATCGTTGGTACCATGGGGTCATTAATAGATTCTATATTGATCTTCATCAATAGTTAATGTGGCATTAAGTTTGGGCGACAAACAATAACATGACATGAAAATAATTGATGCCTACATAATTAGAGTAATAATCATATGATTAGATTGATAACTCTCATGAATATACTTATAATTACATATGAATGAATGAAATACATGTTTTATATAGCAATCATAATTCCTTGGATTACTTGTCTTTTCTTTAACATGTTTTATATATTTATAATATGTTGTGACATGTGTTATGGATAAGTTACATAAATCATGCACATTTCTTTTCTGTCTATAAAATATAATTTTAGTCTTGATTATTTCGATAAGCTTGTTGTTGTTCACTCTACGTTGTTGACTTTCAGGAAGAGATAGGAAACACTAGAACGTTAACCATAGGTGACTTGTTCAGTTTTTACATTTCATAGTTTTGAGAGCTTATTTAGACTTTTGGGTATTTACTTTTATTATATTGGATTTGCTCTGAATAAATATATATGTTTTAGTGATATGATTTTTACAAAGCAATAGATTGATAGATCTGTGGAGGGTAACACATACCATTTAAGGTATCATACATGCATGACATAATTATTATATGATTAAATTACATTTGAATAATAAATTATGCAAATACAGAAGAATATGTCTAAAAGAGAATCAAAAAGTACTGAGGGCAAATCTACTACGTCAATTGCAGGGCAAGAAGTACGAACTAAGAATGTCTTAACAAATATAATAATCAGAATAAGGCAAATGCGAAAATTAAACCCACTGAGTTGCAGAGCATTGTTTAGTTGATACCGTAAGTACTTGAGAAAATGACAATTATTAAAAGATCACCCACTAATACAGGGCACGGATCTGCACTTAGTGCAAGAGTTAATTGGCACTTGAAGATCCTTAAGACATTTCAGTCTCCTGCATTGAAAAATGTTGTTGACCCTACAATTGTTGAAGATTTGATATTAAAGATACGAAAGGTTCTAGATAGTATGATTCATCCAGAAAATTGGAGTGGTTTAAGTCACCTCCATGCTAGAACGTGAAGCTGAGTGGTGGTGGCATACGTAGTATAGAGAGAAACTTCATCTGACATCTCTTCCACAGATTCAATGGAATGATTTTATGAAAAATTTCAAGGATTAGTTCATTCCGCCTTCAGTCAAATTAACATTCCAAGATAAATTCTTCAATCTAATTCGGGGGGGTTCAGATCAATTATGCAATATAAGACAGGATTTACTTATCTTTTCATATATGCACCTCACTATGTTAGTAATCAGGAAAAAATGTCAGATTTCTACGCAGCCTCAGAGATTGGTTGAAGTTGAATTTGGCACCATTCAAAATCAATGAGTGTTAATTGAAAAGGCCTGACAAATTGAAAATGAGCTGAACTTTTCCGGTAGCGGTAGCAACTTCATGCAAGTAAGAGAAAGGACTTTTGGCATCTTCCCTCTTTAGGCTTGATCAAAGTTAACATCGACGGGGCATTACAACCAGGTGAGCATTGGGCTTATCATCAAGGACGAATTAGGGGAACTCATTTTGGCGATAGGGGGAATTTACAGCGATTTCACTTCTCCAAAAGATTATAAAGGACTTGATTACCGAATGCAAGGGAATTGTAATTGAAAGTGACAACTCCAATGTCATTAAAAACTAACGCAACTCCATGGACAAACAAAATTTGCAACGGTGGAGTGGTTCCTTGCTTCATTTTAGGTTTGTTTTCCAACAAACCTTGAGGAGCAACAATAACGTTGCTCACAGATGCGCCCAAATGGCCTATAGATAGTGATTTTGTTTTGACATGTACAGAACCAAGATCCTCTTTTTGCTAATTTTGCTTAAGAACAAGGGTCTTTTTAGTGGGATTAATGCTTTGTTGTTGTTATTGTTGTTGTACAAGGCTCTTTTTTGCCATGACCTTAGGACCTAGTTCTGTTCATTTTTTTGTAACGTTTTGTTTTAATGAAATATGCATATTTTCAAAAAAAAAAAAACAGAGAGAGAAGATTTTTGCAAGGTAGAAGAATTTCAAAGCAATAAAATTGAATTAGAAGGTAAGCAAAAGTAGCCTCATTCAAAAAGGTTAGTTTATGAAAAATGTGTAAAAAAAGATATTTTGGGCAATGTTTGTTGGGTTCAAGAAAGTTTTACAATTTTGGGCAGCTGGGGCAGTTTGTCAACAACTGGTTATAAATAAATTATCCTCGATATAATTATACATGAGGATTGATACAAATAGAGTAAAAGTTATTCCTCCCCTTTCATGCTGTGTACTTCAACTTCTTCTTCCTTACTCTACAAGTTGTATGTGAAGAATTTCTCTGCCACCCATACCAAAATGAAAGCACTCTGATACCAAAATTGATGCAGGGGGAAAGAAAAACGCTTTGGGTGCACAACTTCTAGGTAGGGTTGACATAATGGCCATTTTATAGACCCCTAATTTAAAAGAAAAATGTAAGTTTATGTTAATTGTTAGATTGAAATTATATTCAACAATAACAAGAGGCAGCATCAAAATCACAAAAAACGTCAATATTCATTAATATATTTAGTTTACATGGAATTAGATTTGAATTTGAATAATTGATGAAGGTTTGTATTTGGAATCAACAACTGGTTATAAATAAATTATTGACAATGCCACTTATAAATGCTCTTCCTCCTCGATATAATTATACATGACGATTGATCCAAATTGAGTACAAGTTATTCCTCCCCTTTCATGCTGTGTACTTCAACTTCTTCTTCCTTAGTCTACAAGTTGCACGTGGAGAATTCCTCTTCTACCCATATAAAAATGAAAGCACTCTGATACCAAAATTGACGCAGATGAAAGAAAAACGCTTTGGGTGCACAACTTCTAGGTATGGTTGACATGATAGCCATTTTCTAGACCCCTAATCTAAATGAAAAATGTTAAGTTTATGTTAATTGCTAGATTGGAATTACATTCAACAATAACAAGAGGCAACATCAAAATCACAAAAACATCAGCATTCATTAATATATATAAAACTTAGGGTCCATTTGGCGAAGCTGTGGAACAGCGATGCGGCTCGCTATCGCGATTTAGGGTTGTTTGTTTGGTAGGGTGCTGGCGCGTTTTATTAAATGCGCCCACAAAGCCGCATCACAATCCCATCCTAGATTATTCCGCGTTTTATGGTATTTTTTCATTCGTCCCCTCTCCTGCTCGCCCTCAACCCCGTAAGCAATCTGCCTAGGATTTTTTCTCCACAACATCTCTTCGTTCGCCAACACATCTGGATTGTCGGTGTTTGCTTCTTTCTTCCTCTAGTATCCTCTCTCCCTCATCTCTTCTTCGTGGATTCGCTCTATGAGCCATATGGATTGCACACAGAGTTTTTCTTGAATTTTTACATACAAAGCCCCCGGGACTTGCATTTTTTTTTTCTTTTATTGATGGCTACAACCCCATTTTTACATACATAGCACCGTGTGCTTTGTGATTTGTTTGACAGGTTTGTAGTCTTTGGTTGATGCATACATTTCATTGGTTCCTACGTTGGTTGTTATTTGGGAATGATTCCATACCAGTCAAACAAATCTTGGTTTTGACATTTTTGCTCCCTTCTTCCTACATTGATTTGTGATACGTGAATGCAAATTTGAAAAATGGTTGGATCGATCTATCAACAGGGCTTTTTAGTTGTTGTTTATTTGGTTAACATGGATTGGGATTTCATCATAAGTTTTTATATTTGAGTGACAATATTGAGAAAATGATATTAGAGGGTTGAGCAATTGTTAACAGCAAGGTTTAAGTTGTGTATATTATGAAATCGGTACGAAATCAAGCTGATTTTTTTTTTCAATAATTTTACGAGTTCTCCTTTTTCTGTTGGCACTTTATATTTATGTATCATTTGACGGTTTCTGGTGCTTCTTTTTCTGTTGAGAATTGACAATTTACAAACCCAACACACAATTCTTATATGTCTACATTCATGATACTTAAATCCATATTTTTGGCGTTTGACGTATGATGGTAGTTGTACTTGTTTCAACATTGTTTCCCTATGTTGCTTATGTTGTAATGGTGTACACTTTGATTTGATTTTGCAGAATTGAGTGTTATATACATGAATATTGAAGTCATTGTGTGAGATATGTAAATTCAATAAAATTTTGTGTTGTGTATGTAAATGAGCGTTGCTGGATGATTGGATTATGTGGGTTGGTGTATGATCAAATTTTTCTAAAAGAATTTTTGAGTAAAAATGAGAAAAATAATGCATGGAGAAAAATTGGGATATTTACCGAGATATCTCAGGATTATTTTACAAAGTTCAGAAAAATTTATAAATATATCACCCACTTCTTATATATTTATATTCATGGCAGCAATTTGCATTTTTGTATGAGTTTATGTTGTCACAGATGAGTTATTGGGGCACCGATGTATGGTGTGGGGGTGGTGTGGGAGGGGTGGTGTTTAGTGTGGGGATGGTGTAAGGATAATGGTGATTAGTGTGGGGGTGGTGTGAGGGCATGGTGTTTGATGTGGGGATATTGTGGGGGGCAGTGGTGAGTGGTGTGGAGGCAGTGGGGTTTGGTGTGGGCATATTTATGGGGGAGTGGTGACATACGATAATTTCATTTTTTACTTGATTTTTGCTAATTGTTTCTTCTATCAAATATTTATGTTTAACACTTTATATACTAGTAATGCAATGGTCAAGACAAAAGAGCTCGATTTATCTGCTATGTAAAATAATGAAGGCAAACTAATATTTTGCGACCTCTGCCTTAAGGTGGAATTGGAAAATATTTTCATAACCTATTTTAACAAGGAAGAATGAGAAAATATTATTAAAAGTTTCAAGGAAATTACAATTAGGGAGTATCATAGGATGCAACTGAAGAACAAGTGAGATCAATTGAAAAAGAGCTGAAAATTTTGGAAGGAATTGAAAAGTGGATCCACGGGCTTGAGGGTTTGGGATCCGATTAAGCAGAGAATTGATGCTTCGGAAGAATGGGAAACTGAGAGATTGGAGGTGATAATAGATCAAACTTACATATCATGACTTTTTTTCCTAAATTGTATCAACATATCTATGTTTCTTTATTGCAAGTAGTGTCAGTCGCCAAAAAAATTCAAATTCAGTGGTAATGACCTGAGCTAGAAGAGAAATTGGACCGTATGTTTTGTATATTTGGTAGGTTGTGGCAATCGGGAATAATGCATGGATGCCTAGTGAGCGAGGGTTTCCAGGCATACCTGAGAACTTGAATGTCGAACAAATAATTAACTTCAATGAAAGCCCTAGCTAGAACCAAAATGAAGTAGAGTCCACTAGCAGGACAGCATCCAAGGGTGGACAAAAGAAAAAATAAGGGGCTACTTTCATTAGAAGCCAAATATCACAACTAATGACTTCATGCACCAATGACCCTGGGACATCACAAACAACCTCTATCCAACAGGTTATGCAAATTCTAGAAGCAACTCCAGAAATTTATGAGAACATGTCGTTATATTAATCTCCATGACGTTTCTGGAGAACCCAACCCGTAGAGAGTTCATGATGATGACCCATCACCATTGGTTCAATTATTTACATTATTTTTATGACTGCAGGGACACTTGACTTTATTTAATTATCGTTGAACTATTCGTATTTGTTTTCCATTAGTTTTATTTGGCTTCAGCTTTGGATGTTTCTTCTTTTTCATTGGAACATTCTTAATGCTACTTTGGATGTTTCTTTTTTCATTGTACAATTTGTAATTTGTTATTTGAAGTTCATTTATGATATTGCTTGGCTATAGAATGTTGTCATCATACCTAATTTGAGATTCTCAAGTCTTACCTGAATAGAGCACTTGTTTAACATGGATTCATAATGAGAGAGAAGCGAAAGAAGAATTGCAACAGCGGTATGTTTGATGTACATGTACTACAACTCAAACGTGAATTGGTCTCTGTCCATGACATCATCTTACATTGGTGAAAAATGGGTTGGGGAGCTCCATGAAGGATGCCCAATGAGATTCAACAACATATTTCGTATAAAACAGCCCATATTTATCGATCTCCTAGACGAACTAAATAGAAAACATGAACTTCATGGCTCCTCCAGGATAATTTCTAGAGAGGTGTTAGCAATAACCCTCTACATATTATCACATGACAAATCAATGAGAGAAGCGATGGAGCAATTCCAGCATTCATCGGAGACAATCAGCATATACTTTTTCAGCTGAGTTGAGTGCTCTTGTTAATTTGTCATCAAAATTTATCAAGTCAGGACTCTAACAAAGATTGCACATAAAAAGTGGTATATGTCGTATTTAAGGTAATTATTTTTACTCATTATATTCAGAAATCAAAATAAATAGCGTGATTTACACAACCTTCTTTAATTAGACATTTTTTCATTAATATTACATCTAAGGATTTGTGCTTTGTTGTGTTAAACCTTCAGAGAAGATGAGTTCAAGATTTCTTGTACATCAAGAGAATTGTACTGCTACTACGAACCTACCATGTTCCCTGCTTATGTCGCGACACCCACATAGCTATGAGAGATAATTTTATAGGTGTCTGAGGATAAGACAAGAAAACTGTGATTTCTTTGAGTAGACAGATGGGTTGGAGGAATCGACAACTAATAGTAATCGGGTGTGGCGAGTTTCCCTGAAGAAAGGCTTGTCTCATGGTCTACATCAGCTGCATTTCAAAATAATATTATCATATTATTGATTGTTATTTTGGTACTTCCTTTTTTTTTTAATTTTGATAATCGTGCTACTCACTGTTTAGTGAAATGTTTGTTTGTTTGTTTTTTTAATTTTGATAATTTTGAATGTTTGGACTTGATATTTGTTTTCAAATATCGGATAAGCTAGTATGAACATTTTTATTGTAAACAACATTATAATACAAGAGCAAAATACTCATTTGTCCAAAAGTAGCTGCAGAACAGTTATTTTTTCAAACTACAAAAAAACAAACAGATAGTCAGCTTATCTGCAGCAGCTTACTACCACAGCCGCTGCACAACAGCTTATTAATAAGTTACAGCTGCCCCAAACATACCCTTAAAAGTTTATTAGCTTTTGCAAGAAACTTAAGACAACAATATGTGACTTTATTTACATCATTAAAGCACACTTAAGTAAGCACTTCTAATTTTATAATCAACTTGTCTAAGAAAACAACGTCCTTGAATGTTCCTAGGGGTACAACAATTCCTTCAGCCCAGCCACCAACACCCCTCATGCTTTGTGGTTCTTACTATCTCGAAGCCAACTTTGGCTGCCACATTTCATCGAATATTGTGTCTCCAATTGCATGTAAATTTTACTCTTTTGCAAAAGTTGTGGGTAGATCATCAAAATTGGGATTGCTTGCCCTTCCTTTCATCTACTTCCCTCCTCATTGTCAACAAGACAACTCCACTGAAACAAAAGCAGTCAACAACATATAAAGGCAAACTTGCTCATTTTTTAGAGTGAGATTCTAAGATCGCTCCCTTTATCTATTATGAGCAAGTTCTCTTTGGGTCATTTAAATGTGTATATCATTCACAAGCTCATATTAAACATGCACTATGGTCAAATGCCCCAAGGCATGAGCCAAAAAAATTTCACTTTAAACATTGATTGAAAAATTTATGTGACAAAAAACATCCCATCTTCCTCATCAATCATATAATTTCAAAACATAAAGAATAGCATTACACACCTGTTTTATAGTGGACTCTCCAACCATAACAAACAAGTCAACAATATGTTCAGAAAGCAATCCAGAAGAGATCTTAGCAACAGAAGATAGTAACAAGAAAATGTGGTTGCGAGTGGTAGCGTCCTTAGCTAAGTGTGCCCATTCAACCAGACGATTAATATTATCCTTATTAAGTAGGTCATCCTGTAAAAAGAATAAAATAGAGGAACCAAAGAAATTTTCAGACAAACAGGAAAAAGGGAATGGAAAGCAATTTGGTTAATTTATCCACAAAACAAACAAAAGCACCATATTAGGATGTGTCATAATATGTGAGTCAATAGTATCCTTGAGGATTAACAGAGTAGTGTGCCGAGCAGAATAAAGAGCAGCCGAAAAAGATTCAGTGAATCCAGATATTGATCCACTTCCAGTTGTGCCAGAGCCCAATAAACCCAGAAGCCAATCGTCTGAGAAAAGCTTGGCTAGGACCTCAAATAATGGTTGCACCAAAGAAACTCTGCCAATAAAATAAATATAAAAATTATTATACACACAGAAAGATGATAAAATATCCAATAAATTTTAAAAGCATATTAAAAGATTTAAAAAAGAAAAGAGAAAATAGAAGGCTGACAGACCTATTGGCCATATCTTTCTTAAGTGAGAAAATATCGAGCAACGAACCCAGAAGAAAAATTAATTTCCTTCCACCATCAAACTTGTCTTTACAAGTGTTTAAACTTTGAAGGGTTATGGATTTCTCTCTCTTTTCTCTTTTTGAGGAGTCAATATGCTGTCCTAGGCAGAAGTTTTCAAGGAAACTTGCAAATGTTGTACAACTTATCTGCTAAATAAAAAAAAATTAAAGATGAAAATTCATGATGCTAGAGGATTAAATGTCATGATGCTAAGAAAAACAGTTACCACCATATAATCAGCAACTAAGAGGATTAAATAAAAACTACAAAAATTAGAGCAATTGATGTTGTGCAGATGAAAAAGAAAAAGAAAATTCATGATGCTACAGCCATCAAGGTTATCAGCTCATTAGTAGTTTCAAGTAAAATTTACAACTTCCTAGCAAGAATAGCAGAGAAGGGAAGCAGGACATCCATCATTTTGAAGGGCTCAAATTATATTAAGGAATTGAGCAGCACATATATGTAATTTAGTAATAACTCCTTTCACAAATAGTTTGAAATGAAACATAATGATTTTGATAGTGACAAAAATATAAGCTCAACAATTTGCCAGACAAATAAAGAGAATCAACGCTATATAGTATACATGGTGACAAATGTTACCTTGATAAATAATAGTGAAACATGAGTTTGCAATTCATTTTTAAAACATTCAGCTAATAAAATTCATGCTTATAGTTATTCCTAAAATAGTTCAAAAGGTAGTGGTAAGCTTGTTGGATTCAGTATATCTGGTCATTTTGCATAGTATTAGTCAAGGCATGTGAGTCAAATAAGCCCCTCTTATTAAATAAATTACATCCTTGAATGCTATACATAAGGCCATCTCAATTATATAAAATCGATCAGAACTGTCAAAATACCAAAAAAAAAAAAACAAAAAAAAAATAGAGTAGAAATAACCATGCATAATATCAGTTTTCTTACAAAATCCTGATAAAATAACATTTTGTTGTTTGTTCGTATCTCATTATTCATATGTAATGGGAGTTGCACACGAATTTGCTCCACTATATAATCCCCATCATTATCATTAACATTTTCCAAACTATTTGGAGTCAACATCACAAATCCTCACTCTCCATTAATTTGTATTGCATATTCTTTGAGGAGCTAAATTCGAATACCAAAATATTTTTCCACATATTCTGTCCAGTAAAGAAGATCCACTCTTTTATTTCACATATCTAATTGACCTCTACAAGGTTCATCGATTTATGTGAAATATTTCAATTAGATATGATGGATATGAAATATTCCACATGTTCAATTAGTCAACCTCAAAAAAAAAAATGCCAAGTGGGATACTTATTACAATTTGGAAAGTTCTGATGGATATTTCAATGATTTGTTCAATGAATTTTTTAAATACAAGTTTGAAAATTGAGAGAATGCTATATAATAAAGCACAAAACTAGTGAGAAATATAATTTAATAACTGAAAATTTTAAATAGCAGAGAAAATGTCTAGAAAATATAGGCCTTACATTTACTTAATGACTAAGGCAGTGTTTGGTTTCAACCTTTTACGTTAAATACGACTTATCAAATCAATAAATCCGGATTTATCAAATCCAGTGGCAGACAAAGAAGCTCGCGAGCGACAATGGAATAATTCCACCTAGCAGTTGGATTTACTAAATCCCAATTTACGTTGTAAAATAGAAAGAATGTGATAAGAAAAAGCCAGAATGCAAGAGAATTCGATTTAATAGAGTGTTGGATTTAATTTTCATTTTTTTTTAATGTTTGGCTAGATTTAAGTTAAATCATGGCTAAACCTTGTTAATAGTATGCTACCAAACACCCCATAAACATAAAATATGTAATTTTAGGAATCTAATAGCAACTATCATTCAAAGAAATTCGGAGATATTATGATATGTAGATGAGACCGATTTAAATATTGGTCAAGTATATAAAAAAATAAATAGAGAAAAAAGTTAAGAAATAGCATCTACATTCAAGGCTAGTTGGTTAACATGAAGAAATGCTTAAGATTTTTTTTATTTAATTATTTATTGGTGAAATGAGGATATTATAAAGGCTTGGAGGTAAATTTGATAAAGTAAGCTAGCGAAGTTTAAAGAAATCTAAATATTGTACTATATAAAGAATATCTAAATTCATTGTGGTAGAATAAGAATGTTTAAATGAATGTGTGACAAAATTAAGAATGATAATTTAATGAACGATTATATTAGAAGAAAATTTACAATGACATCTACTGAAGGTAAGATGATTGAAAATAGACTTATAGCTTGAACATGTACAATAAACGACAGAAAAAGTGGTTGTCAAATGAGTTGATAAAGTTAATGTCAAGAGATTAGGAAGGCAATGGAGGACCTAGAGCATCATGAATAAAACTTTTTTAAAAATGATCTGCAAAGAGTAGGTTTAGTACCTTAGACAACACTCAACAAGAACAAATAAAAAATAACAATGCATAAGTATAAGACTAATTATTATGATGATGAACTTCAACAAAAGCTTATTCCAATCAGTACCTTAAACTATAATCATTTCTAATACATAATCAAGCAATAAAGAACCAATACAAAAGAACTTGATATGAAAATGGAAAAGCATAAGAAAAGATTAATGGAAAAGAATGCATCGAGGTCCCAGTGAATTTTTCAACCACAAATTAGAGATCCTTCAGTTTTCAACTAAACATGAACCTAAATATGCAAAAGAATTGTGGTATGGATGGCATAGAAGTTTCATCCACAAAATAAAGAGCCTAAGAAGTATAAGAGGTTTATTGGGTTATTTCACAATTTAAGTTTCAACAATGTCCTTCAAGCAAAACTTTTACAACATACAACACGTTATTGGGTTATTTCACAATTTAAGTTTCAACAAAGAGCAACCTTCTAAAGTATTGGTTCATCCAAGTTGAGCTCCCCGTCAATAACAGACATTATTTGCTATTAGTTACATTGATCATAGCAATCAAATAAATCACAAGCACCACAAAGAAACATAACTCATTTGACTCAAGTCAATTATATAAAACATTAAATAAAATCAAGACATGTAGAAGTATTTAAAAAATATACATTTAGATTAAGAACCGCTTCTCTAGCAGCATCTCTTTGGTCTCCATTGTCACCCCGGACCAAAAAAACCAGGTTTATGAAGATTTCATCCTGAAATGAAGTCAAAAGTAAATTTGTCAAAATATTTAAAAAAAGAAACAATGCATGATAAACCCACTTGTAGTACAAAATAGTAGACCAGAAGGGGAAGAATATGGTATAAGACTATCAAACAATAAATGATTCTCAAAAAACAGCTAATGATTCTCAAAAAACAATCAGAAGCTGTTCAAAACATTTAAGTTTATATGAATTAAAACAAAGCGCAGTTATTAGTTGCTAAGAAAGAGCCATTAACTTGACCATAATTAATGCCAAAAAGGTTGGTGTCATGCTCTTGACAATGATGAAGACATATTTACAATCTTTTAACCGAAACCACCATATATCTTCAGCATGTAGCCAAAAATACACTGCACATAACTTCCATAACATTTCCGTATGTTGAATAGAATTATATGGGAATTTATTGAGTTAACGTAAAGCATACAAGAAACCTTGAGAGAATAATTATAAATAAAGCAATTATAACAGTTTATTGTGCAATTTCTATTTCAGGTTTATATTTTTTTGTTTAGAAGGAAGACGATAACAAGTGGAACAAAAAATGCATGGCTGATATTGTCTAATTTTTGCTGCCAGAAAACGTTTTTTAGCATAGCATATCTTAGCTTATCAACCAACCAGTAGCTTAATTATGACTGCCAATGGTACTTCTTGTTAAACATTCTTTCAGTACCGTGAGCAAGACCATGGATTCAAAACTGAATTGTGTAGAACTTTTTTACAATATTCACTAGTATAAAATTAGCGAGGTTGTATTATGTTGCATATCAGAAAAAATATATATATAGTAAGTAAGCATAAAGTGGTTCGTTGAAAATGAAAGTAAACGAGTTATTCCTAAAAAATATTGTATTGTAAACTGGGCTAAAAATTAATCAACTTCAATAACAAAAATTAAGTTAAGGATTTCCATGTTAACAACTATATTCATTCAAGATTTAATCTCATATATAATTATATATAAGTTAGAATAGTTTCCAATATTTTTCGTTCGGAGATACAGTAGCTCAACGCATTCAATTCACTAAGGCAGGGAATTATATCAGCTTTTCTTAAATCAATAGACTTATGTCAAAGCAGTTCAAGCATATAGTTAACTAGCTGGCTAAGTAAATTGCTCAATTAACAAGAGAAAGCTTGAGCAGAAATTAAGATAAAAAATTCTTCTCGTGATAATATGATGAATTTAACTTTATATACCATTTTAATTAATATTGATTTCAACGACGAAATAAATTTGCATTAAACATTGAAAAAAATGTGTATTAGACAAGTTTAATTGTGTCAAATTGAAAAATATCTTTCATGATTGAATTAAGTTGGTGTTTATGAACAAATCTCTTCCTTCTACCTTTTGCCTACATAGGGGGTGATCCATCCTTTGGCAAAGGGATTTAAAAAATTAATCTGGTATGATAAGGATGAAATTAGGGTTTATCAACAAATCTCTTCTACAGTTTTACCTGCTTTCATGTTTAGTGAGTAATCCTATGGCATATGCATTCTTATTCATGTTTATGAATTGATACATGCACATTATACTAATACCCTCTGAGCCTTAATTCAGATGCATATAATGTCAACTTAGTTGTTAGGCAAATAAGCTCAGAAGCCTTTTTTTAACTCAATAATTTCCAATTGATCTCGATGTCATGACGTATCATCTTGATATGCATGTCAAAATAAAAAATAAATCAAAAAATCAAATTCTAATCAAAGTAACAATCCAATTGGTCAGGCAGGCACCAAACTAGAAAGTCACTAAATAAGCTCAATTAAATGGGCCACCTTACCGCTGGGGCATTATTCCAATTAATGAACTACAGTAATCCTAAAAGTTGCAGGTCCCACTTATTGCCCTTCTCTGGATTTAGTGTTGTAACTCTCATTCCCACTTGTTGCTGTTGAAAAATGTGGGGGAAGAAAAACTAGGAATCGACACAAATCCAGAAGAACACACAGAGATTTATGAGGTTCGGCAAAGATGCCTACATCCTCGGAAGTAGAGCGGCGTCTTCTTTTTCAATACTCAGAAAAGAGTACAGAATACAAAATTTAGAATCTCAGAGTCTCAAAGACTCATCTATGGTTACAAACAGGACATATCCATAACCCTATAGTACAATATGTAATTACTTAAATTACACATGTACCAAACCGCGGGGTGTTGCCCCCGTACCCCCAACCCACATAATGAAACTCCCCCGATTGGACAGATCCTTCCGCTCGTGGGCTCTGCTCCGCTCCAACAACTGTCCCATTTATGGTATATGAGTCATAACTAACAGTTTCCATTCTCTGGATTTAATGTTGTACCTCTCATTTCACCAACTTAATTAATTATGTGAACACAAAAGCAAACAAGCCCATTAAATTTAACCATTTACATAAGTTTAACCAATCGAGTTCTAATTTTATCCTTTGGGTTCCCAGGATGTAAAGCACAACTATCAGCTAAAATTCATAATAGCAAAGACATACAGCCACCAAATAACTAAACTTTAGCCAACTGACAATATTATTAAACCTATTAATAAAAACTGGATCCAACTATCATGCTGCTACAAACCCCAAATAAGTGAACTCGAGTTGGCAAGCCTATCAGTCAAAACCAAACAATAAAATCGAGTCGTAGGACTTCTTTGAGTCAAATTACAACTCAATAACAATTAATGATCATATCATGCCTCCAAGCTTACCTTTAAACCACTAGTGGCTGCGTTGCATGCATCCGAACCAAATTCAATGAAATGAATACAAGAAGCCCATTGCTAGTGAATGAATCAATTTTCATTCCACAAATATGACTTTTAACATGCACATCCATACTAGCATGCCCGGAAAACCTGAGAGGAAAACTCAAGGCTACCAAGCAGGCTTCCTTGGCATGGTATTATGACTCAAAGCCCTTTGCATAATTGATCGCTGGTAGAGTTGGCATAACAAAATTAAAAGAAAATGAGTGGGGCTCCCCTTCATCTTCCCTTCCATTATCTATTGATTAAATTCAAACCAAAATATTAAATATAACCTAAAATTGAGCTTAAGCAACCTCCTTTAATCGAGAGAGCTCTCCCATGAGTGAAAAGTATAATCAACGATGGGGAAGGTCATTTGTCTAAAAGAGTTCTGAACCTAAAATCTAAATAAAATTTGATATAACAGCTACGTACATTTGCTTAGAAAAAAAATTTATCTACCTTTATAATAAACACCCTGAGCTTCTGATTACAGCAAGAATGCTCAATGAAGAGGCGACTTTTCATGAGCATCCATTGGAGAAAGAATCGTATCGCAATGGGCACTTAAGAGTAATGAACAAGAGTTTGGCGGACAAAGTGAAAAAATAATAATATAAAAATATACATTAAAAAAAACAGAAGACAAATTAGCAATATCAACACAAAATAATTTTCCAACTTAAAGAACCGATGCTAAAGAAGGCAGATCAAAAAAATTCACATGTAAATGAAGTTGAACATTCATTGCTTTTGAATGGATACCGCAACAAGCTGAAGGAACATTACATTAGAAAAACTACAAAAACTGTGGCTGCCAATTATAACAAAATAATCTTCAGTTAATAGATAATCAAAAAAAGATAATTTGAAATTAACAGATAATCCTAGATGGTAAAATAACTGTTAGAATAGAAACTAGTACGCGGAAGGTAAGGTTATCAATTGGTTATCAAGAACATTAGTTCCAGTTAAGGGGTAGGTTTATTTGAACAAGTTTGAAGAAGCACAAAGTTCACAATGTAAAGATAGTAAATTCAAAGTGACCTGTATATTGCTATCCAAGTTGAGGTAGAATGTGTTTGTAAGATTTTTCAGCACAGTAACACAGGGCTTTACTACAGCAGGTTCGTCCAATAATAAACCATCCACCTGAAATATTTAAGATTAAAGAAGAAATAATTATGGGGAAAAGAAATTAGAAAAAAAAAACATGGCATGGGGTTCTCATGGGAAAAAAAAATGGACGGGTCCAGAAAACAAGGAGAGAATCACAACTTACTTTTAAAGCTTTCATCAGACAACTTACACAGAAAGCATCAATAGAAGAACTCGACTGTGGTGCGCAAATCTAATAATTTTAGAGCAAGAAAACCGTGATTACAAAAGAAAGAAAAAGAAGTTTGAAAATCTGTGTGGAAGAAGAAAATACCTCTAAAAGTAAGCACAATGTATCAATCTCATTTTCCGATAGCCTCTCAAGTGGCTTCCCAACCTCAACATAGAAATTCCGTTTTTGAAGAAGCCCCAGCAGCAACTCTTTGCAACCTTCTATTTGCAGTAGGGAGTTGCCCATAGCTTTAAGCAAGGAAAACACCTTTTGCTGGAGAAGTATAAGTTATCTCAACATGTTGAGAAAAACCCAAAATAAAAGCTAATGTATAGAACACATTCAACTCAATAAAAACATAATTTTATAACAGTTTTTTGACAAGGCTTGGACAAAGGAGCGCATTTCAGATTCAAATTGGATAGAAACTGTGAGAATCTACTCAATATAATCAACATATGCTTTATTCTGAATTCTCCAACTCAATGCTCTCTCTATTACTTTCTACTCATATGATTTTTAATTGGCCTACTTCTAAGATCCGCACCAAATAGTATCAACAGGAAGTTAAATTATTACTTCTATAAAAGTGAATTGAAGCATCTATTTATGCATGTCAGATCCTATATTTTCCTGATTTTAATGTAACGTTGATATGATAATAATTAAATGAAAAAAAAAAGAAAAAAGATCGATTAACATGAATAAGTGTATCTGAAGACAAAATAAACTGCCTCTGAAAAAAAAATGAAAAGAGTTAAACACTTTAACAGATAAATAATATAGTTTGCAGCATTGTTTCATATTCCAACACTAAACGTTGAATGTCAACGAACCATTCAAGATTGGCAAAAGATAAATATAAAAGTATGACCTTTCCATAGGACGGGAATTTCAATGCTGAAGTCAAAATGAACTGCAGTATGACATCCTTAGATGACTGTTCAAACCTGCAAAAAAAAAAGAAAAAAAAGAAAGAAAAGAAGTGATCAACACCATCAACATCATCCTTATCCCAACTATTTAGGGTTGGCCTCAAGAATATTCTTTCTCCGTTTATCCTTGATCAACGTTGCATGAAATGATATATCTATTTTACATTATGTCCACATCTACTAACATTTACTTTGTTCTAACCCCTTTTCTTAAGGATTATAATCATCCTGTTAGTGCATCTTCTATTACACATGTACAAACCCATCTCAATCATTTATTAGCATCAGTAGATGCAACTCCCAACGTCTATCAATCATAGTAATTTCATTTTCATTTATTTTCCACCTAACTCATCCATCAAATAGTTTTTAATTGTCCAAGAGTCAATATTTATAAGATATCTAGTTCCCAGCAATTATTTAAGTTTGTTAAAATAAACAAAAAATGATGACTACAAAGTATAAATTATCATATAACCATGTATGAACAATCATAGCACAAATTTTAACAAAACCACGTAAAACTCATTCATTAAAAAATATATTTGTTGATTTTAAAGGCCATACCTATAAGCATCTGCAGAATTCATAATTTAACCAAAATAAATTTTCTTAAAAGAAAATAAAGTTCAATTAGTTAGCTTCAAAAATCAGGTCTTACATTTAAGTAAAACTCACTAAAACATTTTAGGGGCTCAAACATGAAGATTAACCTTTTGGCTTTGTATTTAATTATAAAAAGCTTCCTTCTCTAATTTCAAAGCCTAACAAAAATTATAAGATCCATACCCTTAGCCACATAATTTTTTACCCATAACTGATAGTAATCTTATTAATGAATAAAAAAATGAAGAGAGATGACTTCCAATAATGATAATACTCATTAATATAATCATCAATTATTTTATTTAAAAAAAAAAAACTGAGTGAAGTTAATTGCAAACGCGCACACATCTTATATGCAAGCTTTAAGCAGAAGATATCTTGGTTGAAGCAAAGCTCTCTACAAACAAGCCAAAGGGGATTACATGCACTTTGTTACTATATCTTATTTTACAAACTTGACAGCATAAAATATGAATATATGGATTTCCTCGAGAAATGCACCAAACACATTAAAAAATTTTGTTAAATCCTAAATCAATAATATTTTGAAGATCATCACAAGTCTAGCTCACATTGGTAAGATTTCTATGAACCACAATGATTGCCTTTCATTAAAAAATTAAATCATTCATATACAAATCTAAAATTTAAAATAAAAATCGAGATGCTCAGATCAGGAGTTTCTTTGTGCCTTTGTTCTACTAAACACAAGGAATGAAGAACATAATAAAGTACAGATAAAGTCAAATCAGCTTGCATATGCCCAATTGCCAAAAGGCTAATTATAAGGAGTGAAAAACAAAGCTGAACCAAACCCGCTTTTAAGCTTTGTAAAATCCATTATTATTTTGGCACAATCTTCATATTTCTTTAGTTTATTTATTTTATTTGGATGATTTATCCTCATTACATATTGTCAGATTCCAAAGTTTAGATAGGATTAAATTTAGTTTTGAAAAGAATTAGTTTTCAATAAAAAATATTTAGCTTTGTCCCTACAATCCTAGAATCATTGTTTGTAATAAAAATGAATCATGAATGAAACTTGAGTATTTGTAAGGTCAATCGAGCCCTCAAAAGAAAGTTGTGTATATGAATAAAGTGTCAAAATAGTCCCTTTATCATTTAATGGAGTCATTTTATTCCCAGACTCTATAAAGAGTCAAATTAGTCGCCAAACTCTTTAAACAAAATTGGGGGCTATTTTAGTCCATATTAAAAAAAAAAATGGGGACTAAATTGACATTTATATAAACTCTAGAATTAAAATGACCACCTGCAGAGAGACGGAGGACTATTTGACATTTTTCACTGCATGAATAACTCCAAGTTATGTACCCAGAGTTCTTTCTCACTCCATCTCCATCAACATGGAGCACCGCAGCAAGATTCAATCAATACCACTTATGTAAAGCTTTATCACTATAGTTGAATTTAAATGACTTCTTTAATTCTCATGAAAGCGCATAACCAAAAGCCCTAAACTCCCTAAACCCATGATCTATGACCCTTTTAACACCTTCGCACAACTCCACTCTTTGTCAGAACATGTAGCCCCTGCAATAACCTAAGATCGTATAACTAAAAAAAATACAAATACATCAACTAGTCTAATCATTGCGGATCACTAGAACCGCAACATGCATATTTGATCACCATTTATCTAAGATGCATTTATTACGGTGGCCAACAATACAATGCATGGAGAAGTGATTTTTTTGTGATTCAAACATGCAACAATAGTGTTTACTTCCATTACACAACTCAAAATGGAAAATGCAGATGCAAACTTCTCAATGCAACACCACATCTCTATGCAAATCCATGACTATTACCTTGACAAAAAAGTCAATGCAACACCACATCGCTATGCAAACCCATTCACATGAAATCCATGATCTATGACTCTTTTAACACCTTCACACAACTTTATGCTTTGTATAGCTCCTTCAATAACCTAAGATCGTATAACTAAAAAAAAATACAAATACATCAACTAGCCTAATCATTGTGGATCACTAGAGCCGCAACATGCATATTTCATTACCATTTATCTACAATGCATGTATTACGGTGGCCAACAACACAATGCATGGAGTGTGCTTTTGTTTGTGATTCACACATGCAAAAATAAAGTTTACTTCCGTTACACAATTCAAAATGGAGAATCTAGATGCAAACTTCTCAATGCAACACCACATCGCTATGCAAGTTCATGACTATTAACTTGACAAAAAAAGTCATAAACGTTAAATGTGTCAATGAATTTGGCCTATTTTGTTGCTTGCACTACAACACTAAACCTCTTTTCCAACCAAGAGAAAGGTAGCCAGTTGATTTTCTTATCAGCTTCAGAAGACACAAAGAATGCTAACTCTTTTTTTACTTCTGCTGATCATACTCATTTCCCCGAGAAAAATTGTATACATTAATAAAAACTTTCTCAATTTTCTTCATACCTAAAGTTTCAAGGTAACCACATTCTTGTAGGAAAGGGGCACCAACATATTATTAAGATCATTATTAATATGCAACTCATTAAGAATGTAGGATGACGATCACATCCTTTTAGATCTCACACACAGACATAAGAAAATATTATGTTTCCTATTATTCACATTCTTAAAAATGATGCATCTAGCGAAAAAAATTGACTCCGTATAAATGAGCTTTATTATAGGTTACACCACCCGAATAAGCACTTTGATGTATGGAACTTTGATGAATTCCATACAATCCACGACATAGACTGTGTCAAGAAAACAAAACTCTTTCTACTATTACTTTTATTGAAAAACATATGTTACATATTTATATACACTGCCACGTTTATAAATTAGGAATATATTTAATAGAGAAAAGATTATGTAATTACATCTCCTCTGACTAGGTTGTATAATATCAAGCTTTATAATATACACGCTTCCTAATATAAAAGCTTTGCATTTATTTATTTTCATAACACTTCCCCTTAAGTTAGAGCATAAATATTTATCCCAACTTATTAAAAATATAAGTAACCCTAGCTGCATTAAGGGTCGCTGTGAAGATATCCCCAGTTGTCCCCGATCTTTACATGAGCTATGAAAATTAAATTTTGTTTAACCTTTTCACGAACATATGCCAATCTATCTTGTTGGTTTTGAGAATAGAGTGGGATACTTTTATTGAAACTTAATGATGGCTTAAATATAGCTTACAAGACTCCTAACATGGGAAAGAAATAACTCTCATAACTCTAAGATTACAAGAATCAATCAAATAAACTATAATAGAAAATGCATACAAGAGGAAATGAACAGAGATAAATAACTTCATAATATAACTTCGAATAGAGTAAATTTTTAACTTAACTTCTAAAATCACCCCTAAAGTTGAAACATAGAATTCAATCATATTCAACTTGGATTTGAAATCATCAAACAATAGGCGAAAAAGATACTTAATGAGGTAGAGCTTGAAGTTTTTATCCCCAAGAGCATTTAGGGATATTTCTAGTTGATAACGGTTGTCTTTAATTGCAGTTTCTGCAATTTTTGTAGGTATGCGGAAGGCTTCAATAGGGAATGTTGCAAGGAAGATTGCATGGAAATAGACAACCTACCGAGAAAGCTGCAGAGTATGACCTGCACAAAAAAAAGGAAAAAACACACACAGAGAAGTTGTGAGCTATGACCTACAAGAAAAAGATGAAAGAACACATCCAGCAAAAGCGACATTGCACAACCCACAGGAAAAGAAAGAAAAAACAACTGCAGAGAGAGTTGTCTGGTATGTCTTGCGAGAAAACAAACAAAGAATAAGAACTACAAGGTATGGCCTGTAGAAATAAAAGAAAGAACACATGTAGGCAACGTTGAAGAAAACACCTGCAGGAAAAGCTACAGTGTATTGCCTACAAACAAAAAAAGAACGAAAAACTGCAAGCAAGAGCTCTGAAAGAGGCTACAGGGAAAAATCTGCAGAGGAAGTTTTGACTACATAAATTCAGCAGAGGAGATGCTGCAGGTGGAATTCTGGTGCTAGGAAGAAGAGGAAGAAGCTCTGGAGGAGGGCCTGCAGATCAGCTGAAAGGATTCCGACGGAGGAAGACCTGCAGAAGGACGAATCTGATTGCAGGGAGAGTTCTAGTGACAAAGGAAAATTGAGGAGGACCTGCATAGAGTTGCATGGAGTTTTCCGGCAATAGAGGAAAACCTAAGAACTTGTAAGGAGAGAACCGGCTGCCAATTATTGGCTTCAAGGAAAAAACTGGCGTAGGACCTGTAGGCCAGTTGCTAGGAATAACATGGCTAGTTCGGAACGACCTAGCAACAATATCATTCCTCATCTCGTAAGTCTCACCCACATCCAATGCAACTAAATTTAGCTTTAACTCATCATGACTCATGGCCTGATGAATCTCAAATAGCCTCATTACATTCTCCTTAATACAAGGAAGAATAAAAAATGTTGGTGGCTTCAGGTTGTACATGCCTCAAGATACAACAAACATTGGCAGCTCCCAAATATGAGCATGGAAAATGAACAACAAGACTTGACTAACAACCCGGACCAGGTATCGTCTAATGTCAGATGTTGAGTTGAGGCTCAGCACCACCACACACCTACAAATATTCCCTCCAAATAGATGCCCTTCTTCTGCACTTCCGCTCTCCCTCAGCGATACTCTTCCTCCTCCATCACCTGTTCGAACACAGACATGAACCTCGACCTTTATGGAGCCACTACGGAGCAACTTGGTCCGCTTCCAAAGTAGTACGACACAACGGCGAAGGCGGGAGTTCGCGGCACGCAGAAAGGAAATGAGAAAATAATGTCGGAAGAGAGGTTGTACGAAGAGAGGGGAAAAGGGAAGGAGGCGGAAGGGGATGAAATGGCCAAGGAAATCTACATCTCTGGCATGAGAAAAAGCTGCATACCAGGTCCAAGATAGTGACTCTTGATTATAGAGGAATGATTCAACGTAGAGAAAGTATTAAGATAATTGATGAATAATCCTAAGCTCAAACCAAACCTTGGCCAACCCTCAATAGCATGTTCGTAGACCAAAAAGAGCACGTTGTCACACTCCCCCATCTTCAACAATAATTGACAAACTAACCATGAGAAATGAAGATTCTAGAGAATATCATAGTGTAGAGAGCAATCCAAGAGACTCTAAAAGATTTCACGACATTCAAGAAAAAACTAGAAAAAAAGGAGAATATTCCAAGGAATTCAGAAGGTTCCAAATAATTCCAAAAATACGTTAAAATAGGAAAATTAAATAAGAACGCTAGAATATTTTGAAAAGTTTTTGAAGCATGTATATGAAAAGAACAATGTAAAACTATCTAGAAGATGGTATATTCTAATGTAATCTAGAAGTTCCCTCGGGCTTGGGAAGGACTATAAATAGAAGTCTCTCCCCCTCATTTGTGATCATCCAAGATCCATCCAATGTTCCTAAGCACTCAAGTGTTGTAACCACTCTTACTTGGTGAAGTGTTTTTTTCTCTAATACTTCTCCCTCCTCTTCTACCTAGATTGTTTTATGCTTACAAGCTCAAGCGTTCTGAGGGTTAGGTTGATTTAGTACCAAGAAAGAGCGCTAAAGCCGCACGAGGACTTGAGATAAGTTAATCCGTGATAATTAGTATCAGGGCCTTGGTTCGAAGGTATGGAAAAAAGCGTCAGAGAGCACGTAATGGAATCTGGAGCCATTAATATGGAATCATCTCAATAAGAACGAGGTCAACATAAGCAACAAGATCCAGCTACACACAAAACAAATGGGACACCGAAGGAGATCATGCATGGCTTTGATTATTAATGTTCGCTAAACAACTTAAAAGACTCCTAGCTTAGGAAAGAACTAACTCTCTTAACTCCAAGATTACAAAAATCAAATTTGATAAACTAAAAAAAGAAATACATAAGAGGAAATAACATGAACAAATAGCTTCCCAATATAACTTCTAATGGGAATAAATAATTTTCTAATATAACTTAGAACATATCTCAATGTGCTTACTTCGTTCATGGATGACAGGATTTGAAGTAATAGAGATTGCATCTTGGTTCTCACACCAAAGCTTTGTTCAAACTAGCATCTTAAATCTCATTGTGGTTAAGATTTGGGAGACCCACATTAATTCACTTGAATTTTATGTCATCGCTCAATACTCAGATTTTGCACTGGACCGTGACTCTACATTCTGTTTATTAATCTTCAAAGAAACCAAATTACCACCAACAGAGATAAATTTCAGTAAAGGATATTCGATCAATTTTCAAATTTGACCCATCTGCACCATAGAAACATTCAATATTTCTATGCTCATAATTTTGATATAAAATATCTTGTCCAGGAGCCCATTTGAGGTGACAAAGCATACGTTGGCCTTATTGATGCCCTAATCTCGTTGACGCAAATAGGGCGAACGAAGCAGTTAAAGGAGACGCCAAGTATCGTTGATTCTTAGCGATGCAGACAACGCCAAATGAAAACAAGGCACATGTGATGAAGATTAAGCGAGTGCAAACGACAAAGAGTGATGCAGAGTTAGTCAAACACGTCGTCAACGCAAAGCGATATAGACGACATCAAAGTCTAGCAATCAAACGAACCGACTGAAACTAAAGAAAGGATTCCTAGAGGCTAATGTCGAAGACGAACGACGCTGACGAGAACGATTCAACAAGCTTCCAATACCATGTGACTGAAAACAATGCTCTCTCTTATTTCTTTAATCAAAAAATATATGTTACATATTTATATACAATCCCACATTTATTGTCTAGAAATATCTCTAATATATAAAAGATCTTGTATAAGATCCCATTTAATAAGTTGTCTAATATCAAGCTTCATAATATACGTGTTTCCTAAAATACAAGCTTTGGAATTATTTCTTTCAATAACACTATGCAAATACATTTCACCACAAATCTGAAAAGCATTTCCAATATATGCTAAAAATTTATAATCTTCCCTCTATGATGACAGTCCTACAAGTGATTTAATAATGATAGACTTTTTAATGATGATAAATATTAAAATGACAGCTCTCATAAATATGTTTATCATCGTACATCTCTTTCTACTGATGAACAACACAATTTTGAATTATCAAAACTTGTTTTTACTGCTATTTCTATGGTTGATTCCAATTTATTATTGGAGGCTAAAATAGAGCTCGTATACGATGGTATTTTTTATAGATTCAAACATTGGCATGCCATTAGATGTATCAAAATCTGCTTCAACAGCTTTCTACTGAGATTCCTACTCCAATTCACTTTGTATGCCCTTAATCATTCAAATTTCTTGAGTTTTGCTGTCTCAAAACAGCTCAAAGAACAAATATCAAAGAATATATTCATCCACCCGAAAACCATAAGAGAATTTGAAAATTATGGATTCTTACATTTTTTTAATAAAAGTGTAAAAATATTACTGATTCTGAAAACATCATGAAGAAACCTAAGGCATGAGCAAAAGCATCTGCAATAAATAAAAGCTACACTGAAATTTAACAAATTTATTATAAAATAATTAAGGGAAAATAAAAAACTAATGCGACATAATATGAAAAAGAAGTCTCAAAAAGCTTGAACAATTAACAGACCTCATGCAAAGAATAAAATCATTAGTAAGGTTTCGGTAGCTATCATAAGCATGTATTCTGTCTTATGCGATGAAAACAAAAAGTCAAGGTTAGAACACACTAATCAAAGCATTCCGATTATAAATCATTTTCATAAAACCAACTAGTTCAGCAACCACAACAACAACAAAGCCTTAATCCCATTAATTGGGGTATTGAGTGCCAAATTTTCATTTAATTCTAATAAAAATTTTGAAGAGAAATTTATATATAAAATTAGATTAATCTTCTCTATAAAAAACTCAATATTTAACCACTCATGACTAAGAAAGAAACTAAGAGAATAAAAATTAATCAGCAACTAGAAATGAAGAAACCTTTTATGAGAGTTCTCCGGCACAAAAAGACTGTCACTGGATGGGCTTAACAATGATGTCAATAATGATGGAAGAAAATTCACATCTGATGAGATCAGCTGCTTTTGGTTGACAATGAACTCCAAAAACTCTCCAAATACTGGTGATGACACACATTGAAGGAAGATTGCATCGTTTCCTGCATTGTCACAAATTGCATGGTCAAGAAGTTTTACAGCAGAAAACATAAGTAAATTACATATAATGAATGAATACCATTCTTCAAACAAGAAACATTATAGCACTGCCACAGCTTATATATTCCTTCAACACAGTTTACAGCAGCAGAGCGAATCTCCTATAACCATCAAAATTCTGACTTCAGTAAAAGAATCACAAAAAGAGATTCAATTTAGACTTGAGAAACTATGTAATACATAAATTAAAATTTTTATTATGCAACATGCAACCAATGAAAAATGAAAGGGGAATTTACATACATGCCACCCAATTCCATGCATTTTACATTTACACCAATCAAATCTTCATATCAAACCAAAAATACAACCATTTCAACTTTAAAAAGTAAAATACACATTTTCATGCATAGGCAGGTGGTATGTATGTAAAAATTTGAATTATAGGTTTTAGATATGTAAATATAGAAGAATTGAGTGTTATGTATGTAAATCATCCAAAATGAAAACAACAATCATATTCTCAAACCCAAAAAAATGTGAAACCTTGTTATCACTGGCAAGAGGTACAAGAAGTGAAGGAAATGTAGAAAGTGAAAGGAGAGTATTTTCATTTGTAGAGCTCCTATCTGATGCATAAATGGAACAGATAGAAGCAAAGGAGATTAAACTTTCGGCTTGAACCTCAGCAGAAAATCCTGCAAGAAGTGAAAATAAATCAATATGATGTTATTAAAAAAAGAATTAAAAAACAATAAATGCTATTAGTAATTACACTTCAATTAATCACAAAATAATATAAGCAAACATGAGAATGCAAGGAGGCATTTGGGAAAAATTTGCATGTAATCACTTTCACTAGTGCCAAGTGACTGTTTGTGCATGGCAATCTTTAGAGAATACAACAAAAACTATATTTGTTTGTAATAACAACCGAAACAAAATAACTTCTCGAGCAATTACAAAACGGAGAAAAAGAAAAAGAAATGTTTGTGGCTGGCATGTGGATAAAGAAGATCATAGGTACAGATACTAAAAATTTCTAACAAGCATTGCATCAATAATCTTGGAGCGGCGACCAAAAACAATAACACTAGGTTAAAAAGAAGTAATTTTACATTTTACCATAAAATATTTAAGCGATAAATATTTCAACTATATTCTGCAAATATAGAAAAAGAAATTTGTAAAAGTAGCATGACAAAGACATACAAAAGTAACGTAATGAGTAGAACACAAGACTGACATAAACAAGCATAAAAAAAATTAAAAATTACTTTCAATTCAACTTCCGCCTGCTCCTTTTCAATAGTATCATAGCAATATAAGTAAAAAAATGCAAAGAAATGTGAAATTACATTAATCATTGAGTTAAAATTCGCGAAGAAATTGGGACAAAAAATTTAAGCATCATACAATGCAATCTGCAGAGATGGAAAAATAAATTACAACAAAGAGGATGTCAAAAGATAAATTAAATTCAAAGAGAAAAAGTAGACATAACAGACCTGCAAGTGCAAAAAAAGATATCAACTTCTTCAAAAGACAAACAACAGCAAACAACAATTACTATATTAGAATGATAGCAAAAACAAACCTTCTTCCACAAAATATTTGGACAGAAACTGAAATGGAGCTTTGCAGCAGTTCTTAACAGCAAAAGGAAGTTGTTTCTTGAAGATACTCAAGGAACGAGATGAGGCAAAAAAGAGAAAAAGCTGTTCAAATAACGATAGTTGCTGATCCTCCAACTGCACAAATAAAAAACTGAAAGTAAAAAGAATATAAAATAGAGGATTTAAGCCATCACAGAAAACAAAAGATTAGAGTGCCAAAATAGTCCCATGACTAGTTACATTGGGTCATTATAATGCCATAGTTTATAAAAATGCTAAATTAGTCCCCGGACTATTTTAATGGCGCCCAAAATAGTCCTCAATGGGGATATTTCAACCCATATTAAAAAAGTATAGTGACTAAATTGACATTTTTATGAACTCTGGGACTAAAATGAACCCTGCAAAGAGTTAGAAGATCCTTTTGACACTTTATTCGAAAACAAAAGTTTATAAGCAATAATGTATCCTAAAGAAGAATATAAAGTATATAAGCTCAAAAATTACAAAGAACAACATACCAACTTATTTTTTCTAGCTAATCCAGTACATATTTCCAGCAGACACCAATGAATACAAATAAGTATCTTATTACTTAATGTATCAGCATCTAAATGTAACAGCTGCGCAGCTAACCGCCTGTATGATTTATCAAACCTCTCCAAATTCAACTGAAAGATAAGTAAGGCAATAGTATTAGGATAAACACTCTAGTAGACTTAAAATAAGTATATAGCATATATCCAACAATCAACTGCTTTCTTCATTTCCATTAAATTACCTCAAAAACAATAAATTTTTCAAGTGCTTGAAACCGAAGATAGGAACTTTGATAAACTAAAATAAAATGGATTTTACCATTTTTAAAGTAACTAGAAAAAAAAAAGCACAAACCATGATTGCTTTGTTTTTTTTTTATATTTTGTTCAGCTATTTAAATCGAAATCACAACATACTGCAATATGTTTCAGCTAATACAGCCAAGTAAAAATGACAAGTTTTTCCAAAATCGATAAAAAAGTATGGAAATTCAGCAAAAACGAAGCAAAAACAAACCAATTTTAAAAGCTTTTTAGGATAATTTAAATTATAGGCAAATTTCTCAAAATTTTGTATTTCATTAGTATTATTAGGTTGCATTATATTTTAATCATTTTTGGACAGTAATTAGCTTGGTTTCAAACGTTTGAAAAGATTAGATTTATTTTTAAAATATGTAACCTTATCTTTGCAACTTTATTTCTATAAACAGAGATGCATGGCTAAACCAAACCAATTTTAAAAGCTTTTTAAGATAATTTAAATTATAGCCAAATTTCTCAAAATTTTGTATTTCATTTGTATTATTAGGTTGCATTATATTTTATTAATTTTTGGATAGTAGTTAGTTTGGTTTCAAACGTTCGAAAAGATTAAATTTATTTTTAAAATATTTCACCTTATATTTGCAACTTTATTTCTATAAAAAGAGATGCATGGCTAAACGTTGATTGATTATTGAACATTAATGAGTAGAATAGACCAACAACGAGAGATAAAGAAGAGGCTTAGCACACATAGCTTAGAACGATCCGCACATACAGCTTAAATCTATAGAAATCATTCAACAGGCTCAATAATAATTTCATTCATCTTAAATCAATGTTCAGAAATCAATCAATAGAAGCCATAATTCCTCAGTTTGAATTTATCTAAACTTGGCTTGAATTGTACTGCACCACATTAAGGAAGCTATAAGAAATTTTAAATTGAGAATATAATTTGACAAAACTTTATGAGAAAATACTTTTTCAACAAACCCTAAGAAAAAGCTAACTACGAGCCATTCAGTTACAAGGGGACCTTCCAAAAAATTTTATTGAGAAGTTTAAGATCGATCAAACCATTAACAGTAAAAGCAACATGTAAAATCATAGACAAACCTCTCCATTAATGATAACATTGCCCTCAGATTCCACTTCACACCATTCATCCTTGAGAAACTTTGCAGCAATGATTCCATTATCAATAGACAACATTTCATACCACCCATCTTCAATAGCCGCAATGCAAGCTTCAAAAAGCTTCCATATTTTGGCAAATTCTGAAACATGATGTTTAAAGAAGTAAGCTACACCGAAATCCTAATTCAATGGTTCAGAGCGGCATAATTAAATAACCAAAAAATATATATTTTGTTAAATGTGTGAAAGTTGAATTAATTAATTTAATGTTATTAAAAAAAATATTGTTTCATAACTGAGAAAAAATTCAACTTAGTAAAATGAACTTTGAATAATAGCAGTATATTCATATTTAAATGAAATGTCCATAATACGGGCCCACAAACTATCAATAAAATAAAAAGAATTTAATTTTTTTTTTTTAAAAGCATGATGAAACAAGTCCAGTATATTCACATATATTATCTTCGACTACTTAGGAATAACCTGAAACAAAACAATTAGACTCAACTTGAAACCTAAATCATCATTCTCCTGTTACGATGAGGATTAAAAAAGGTGTATTTCTAAACCATGCTAAATCTCTTGAGCAACCTGTAAGGGTAACTGCCCCTGACCTCCAGAGGTTTCACAACCTGTCATGTAACCCACTAAGGTTCGATAAAATATCAAATACCTCACTTTTTTTAACTCTTCCATCAAATTTTCAGTAAAATCAAAGCATAAGTTAGTCATTTAGTATTTTAAATATGTTCTCAATTTATTGAATTATTTAAATTTTAATTTCAAGTAATGAGGAAAAAATGATTTACTTATAAATGTAAGGGTGCATACCCCAAGATCAAATCCAAGTGAGGATCAAAAATGGTTGCCGCCACAGGGACATAATTATTCCCTCTTAGAAGCTAAGACAGGCGGTTTTAATGCCACTTGTTTTTTTTTACAAAAATTAAATTAAAAAAGAAAAATTCAACTTTTTTTTTCAATTTTTTTTTCTTTCCCTTCCCATTTTAGGAGATTTTTTTGTTTAGTTTTTATTATATACATAAATAAGCTTTTTATTATGCATATATGATTATTGAAGTCATTATTATTTACATTGTTCATTTTTCATTTTTTTTTTAAATATTTGTGTGCATCTGTGGAAGCTCTTCAGTGAATTTTATATATTATTTGTGTATATTGCATCCCCCAGTAGAAACTAGAGTGGTATAAGAGAATCTTCCGTACCATTTTAACATTACAAATGCAACAGTTCAGTTCAATTATTTAAAGAAGTGACAAATGAGAATTCTTCCCATGTAGATAGGCATTGTAAGTCAATTTCTTGTGAAAATGTGTACATGTTCCACCCCTAATGTCGCATTTAATTGGGTTATATAGTGGATCATATATGTACGTCTACACATCATAATTTTTTTTGTTGGCATAGAGCTTAACTAAGATCCCTTTAGCATTATGAACCATCAAACTTTTATCCACTGTAAATCTAATTTAAATGCACTTTCTTCTGAAAAAGAAATGCTAATAACTTATTTGAAAAACATACATTCCAGATTTCAGGCCATCAACTCAACCTTAATTCCACAGATTCTGCGCTCATAATTCAAGTTTTTGAAATTTATCTCAATTAATAGCTTAATCATTTTCTAAACAAACTCATAATAATTCTATCTAAACAAATGCGCAGCAAAATGAAATAAAACATGTTCCTCCTTTACAATGACAGCAGATGTCAATTCAATGCAATTCAAAATGCTCTCCAGCTGAATAATTCAGAGATTTGAAAAAAACCATGCACAGCGAATTAAAAAACTTGAGCACATCCCGCCAAAATAGAAGCTAAGCAGTTTATTTCAATATCTTTGACTATAGCAATCTGTCTCCTTAATGATGAAATATAATGGCCTCATTTGTCAAGCTGCGCTTCACACACACAGTTTGGCATCTAAATCACTAACCCTTATCTCCGAAATCAATTTCCAATCACTCTTCAATCCTACCACCCTTCTTCATGAAAGGATTTGTTTGCGTGTGCAAGAATGAACTTAAATGAATATAACAATTTGAATCTTTGAAAAAAAGAAACTAATAATAATAATAATAATAATAATAATAACAAATTCAACCATTTGACTCCACCAACAGTCTAAATCTAGAACAAGATATCGAACCTATAACTTGGTACATTCACTTCTAAAGTATAATATCTACAAACAATTGAAAACTTCAAAAAATTATGGAGAGCTGATTTCACCTGTCCCTCTCTCTGTCAGGTGCTGCATCCTTCCTGAATAGAAGCCAAAAAATGAACAATCCACTATCCTCATCCGTTTTCACGATATTCTCCTCCAAACTCAAAAAAATACCGTATAAATTCTCACAATAACACTCACTAAAACATGCCTATTCCATCCTTTCAATTACATGAGAGACTGTTCCAATTATGTGCCCTCACTATCCAACCTAACAAATAAAGATCAAACATCAATTTACATCAAGCTAAGTACGAGTCAGCACAAAAGGTTTGTATAGTCAGGCTCAAGTTTGCTGACGAAAGAACCAACCAATTTAGGACCTTGTAACTTCTCAATAACTTATCCAGAACAACAAATCACACAAGTAATGTAATAACCAATTTTTGAGAAATAAGATAAATTTTTTACGACTTAAATTGTACCCCAAGTTTCGCACCCCTCAGATTTCAATCGAATCAATTTTATAAAATTTTACACGAAAAATAAATCAACTTTATCTAAAGCACAATATGTTAATTATGAATGAATTGGGAGAAATGAAATACAGAAGTTATATGTTTTGTTAACTTAAATAAATTTTAATTGCTTTAATTAATCCTTTCACTAATCCTAGGCACTTTAGCCCACCGACTTACGCCATTATATTTTCCTTTTATTTTCCTTTCAATCGGTCGAAAGGCATCTAAAGATTCGAAATCCCCCTTAGTCCCTATTGTCCTTCTCTTCTCTTCCTCGATTTAGCCTTGTTCCTTGTCCGTTGCATGTAAAAGGGGTCACAACCCTTGCTACAGTGCAAGGGCAGCGAGCAAGGTCACGAATAGCAAGGGTCCAATGACACTAGGGTTGCTACATCTCGTGATCCAGAGCTCCAGGAGAATTTCTATAGGTGTGAATTCCTTTTTTAAGCTATTTGAGACATTCTTTTTCTTCCTCGCACTTTCATTTTGAGTTTTTCCTAGCTTTTCGTGCTTTTCTCACTTTTGGCAGCCGTCAAAGGCGCCGATTGTGTGCCTGAAGCGTCAAAAGTCCCTCGTAACTTTTCATAGGTGTTTTTGCACAATTTTAGCGATGGGAAAGAGGATATTGAGAAGTTAAGAAGAAGAGAGAAGCGCATTTGGCCGCTTTGGAGAAGAGGATATTGAGAAGTTTTAGCAAATCATTCATATTTTTAGTTGGAAATATTTTATTAGCCAAAATATCTTTAAATTTGAAGTTAATTGTGGATTTTAGGTTGTTTATCGGTGTGGCAAGCTCGAGGAGAGATTCGAATGTGGACATGCACTGTAAAGCTACCCCGTAAAATTCGAGTAAATGCATCTGACGGTAATTTAAGAAGATTACTTTGATTAACAGAAATTACTTAAATCTTAAGGTTTAATATTATGTTTTATAGGTTATTAATCACCACCTAAAGCTCACTACAACCTCCAGCTAGCTAGTGAAGATTAAGACTTTAGCGTGGCAACTGAGATGAGTAATTACATTTCTAAATTTTTGTAATCGTTATTATTTCAAAATGTGTTTTGATTTATACGTATGTTTTAGTTCAGTTAGATTAATATTGCAGTAGATTCTTCAAATTGTTAGTTAGAAAAGTTAAGTATGACTGAAAAGTTGTAAAAGAAGTGAATGCATTAAGGATATGCATAAGATGAATAACATTTAGATAGACATTATATGTACGATTGACATGTAAGGTAAGCATGTGACAAAAATATGCATGAGATAGATATAAGAATGTTATAAAAGATCGCGTGATAAATAGTTGCACAGCGGCAAAGTATCCAAGTTAGTAGATTCTATAGCAATGTTTCAGAATAATATATGTATGAAGAATGAAATTTCTTATATGTGAATGCATGTATGTGCATTGTTCAGAGGAGGATTTCAGTTCCTAATGGTACAGACAGGAGAAGCCAGTGTACCCGTGCGCGTAGAGTTTTGCTACCACCTAGACAATTGTGATGATTAGAACACTAATTGCTGTGCTAACGGAATAAAATCGGTCAGAGGAGAGTAGACCAGACAATTGCTATGTTCATATTACAAACCACTGTGTTGGCGAAATAATATCAGTCAATGGTGGGTGTGTAGATCTCTAACTGTTGTGCCGAAAGGAGCCATCGGGGCAATATTGATCATTGGTGTGTAAGGTTTGTCGATGGTAATCTTCAAAGAGACATACGTGTATATAAAGTATATAGTAAAAGTAAAATTAAAATAAATGTTTATAGAAGATTGAGTATGTTCATTTAGAAAGAATCATTGATGCATGCATCAACATATATCAAATTTCTTATAAGTATATATATCATATTTCTTATAAAAATATGAAAGACTGGCATATTATGTATAAATATCAGATTGCTTCTAAAATATGAAAGACCAACATATTAGAAGAATTCTTATAGACTCGCATGCATATTGAATTCTTCTTTTTGGATTACAGTAGTTTAAAAGTGTAATTACTCTTGGGTTATCTTTAGATAACTCGTCATGTAGTTTTAATATTATTTTTAGGTTTTAACATTTGAACAAGATGAATAGAAGATGAGCAAATATATACAGTAGATGAGAGGAACAATAAGAAAGGTATAATTTTTACTTATTAATTATTGTTTTATTTAGTTGGCTCTTTTATGTATTATTTAAATATTAAATTCTTAGTATTACAATTATAATAACAGAGAATTGATTTCCACCATCCAACCGTCTGTTCTCATCCTGGTTAACTCCAAACTCTGGGCCGGGTCGTGACAGGTAAAAATTTAAAAACAAGTATTTTTCTCCAAATATAAAGTAAAAGAAACAAGAAGAGAAAAGCCAGAGTGAATGATTTGGAATCTCCAATTTTAGGAGTTTTGAGTTCAAACAATCATAAGCACCATGAAATTGACCTTCAACGTTTACATCACAAGCAAACAGAAGAACAAAAAAGTTTAGGAGTTAAAAAAGGGTTAAATCTTATATCATATGATATTAATTAATTTAAAAAGAATAACAATTAGGGGTGCATGATTTGCAAGTACAAGCATCATGAAGAATGAAAATAATAAATATTGGTATAAATGGGAAATTTTCAAAAAAAATAAACTTAATAATTCTAAAGATCAGGATGGCGACAAATAATTCAAAACATATAAAGATCATGAAATCATAATGCAGACAAATAATTGCTCAAAGATATAAAAAGGGCACCTTCTTTGCAAGTAAGCAAAGCCTGAAGAATGATGAAGAAGAAAAAACATTTTGCTGATTTGCTTTGCATGCTGCATCCAACCAACCACCCAATATTACCTAGAGGATTCCCAGCAAAAGATTCGGCCAAGATTTGAATTGTTCGTATGTTAATGGCAGTCATCTGCCCATGGTCTAAACTCTGCATTTGTAGGATTAGCTAAAAGTCAGTTAAGTGGAAGTTTTCAAGCTAAAAAAAATCAAGGGGCATTTGCAGACATAGCAGACAATTCTTACGTGTTTACATATCTCACACCTAAAATTTCATAATTACACACATAGAACTCAAACGTTTAATATCACATTAAAAATAGCACTAGTGGCACTTTTTAAAAGTGCAAAACACCTATTCATGCATAGGATTAAAGCACCAAATTGCTATGTATGTAAATATGAAAGTTTAGGTGTCAGATGTAAATAAATAAAAACTGTATGCTGCGTACCAAAAGGTCGTTAGGTCTTCCAACTTGCAACTTGACGCAAGCATTTATTTGGTCAAACAAGCATGCATTCATATCAGCATAATCAAAAGGATAAAACTGTTCAATCTCTGAAGAATTAAACACTTAAATCGACTTCAAAGTCATCCAAATGAAACCAATGTGCATCTTATATTTACTTAACTTTCTTATACTATTGCTAACTATATCATATTATCTTGTATCCTCTAAGAAAATCTTCTTTTAAAAAACAGTTGAGTTCTTGCGGAGAAACATGCTTCGCCGGTTCACTCATCAATAAGGTGTTCCTAAATTAACTGTAGACTTATATGGTAAATCTACTCAAGACCATGCAAAATAACTTATTTTTCCCTTAATATACTTATATATGCAAAAGAAATAAAGTAACTCCAGGGACATGCTAGTCAGATAGAATCATCAATATCATAGTTCAAAGAAACAGAATAAACAACACTAGTTATGCAACAGAACTTGTGCGTCCGCATAAAAGACATGTTTCTTGTAGTGCAGCATTAAACACAAAAAAAAGGTTTGCTAACAGCTTCTTTTTCAACATTTTGATGCAAATCAACTTTCTTCATCAATGCTAAGTCGGTATTTTTCCATTAAAGTATCAAACAAAGTTCAAGTACGTTTAATTGAAATATTATAGTAACTAACAAAGTATCGCGATCGAATGTCTCGCATATTAACTGAAAATAAAGTGATTAATTCCAAGAGACCATGTTCGAGTTCTCAACCTGCACCGAAAAGAAAAAAAAAATTAAGAAAATTACTGACTAAATATATCCCTATGATGGATATACTAAACAAATTACTAAGGCAAAATTATCTCCACAATGGATATATACCTTTGCTTGACGCTCATCAAAATCTGAATTACACGGTTTGAAGTCTGAGTAAAATGGCCATTGCAATTTATTAGCAAGCTCCAATGCTTTTACATTCACCCTCCAAGTCTGTACAGTAACCAAAAAAAGTCATTTATAAATTAATCATTGAGCATGCACCATATAAAGAATAAAGAAAACAGAATACGACAAATAAGAAAGCCCAACAGAAATAAAAAATAATAATAATTTACACTTGGAACATAGTTGCAAATATCTATCGAGTTGTCAACCAAATATAACATCAAAAAAAATTATCACTGCATTAGAAGCACAGATAAAGTTAACATATTTGCAGGCTCAATGATCTTCTCTTTCTATAATAGCATCTAGTTAAAACTTGATCTAGTAAAGCAAGAGAATAATTATGTGAAATACAATTTTATTTAAGGTTAAAATGATAAATATCACTCGAAATTACATGAAAATCAAGTGATACCCAAGTGTAATATGTTTGAGCATCTCGATTATATCATAGAAACTTAGTTGGATAAGCAATATGTAATAAGTGAAAATGCAAAGTTGTTAGAAATGTACAAAAACAAAAAAGGGAGGCCAAATTAAAATGGCTGGACTATAAATAAAAAAGGCCGACCTAAGATCATACAACTAGAATTTTTTCAATATCATTTGCTCCAAATCGATTTAAAATAATAGGCAGCACTTTAAGAGTTCATATGCTTCTCAAATATGAATACTCCTACCTATTCTTTCCTATTCAAGCAAAATTCGGTTTGAGTTTTATTGTCATGTTTGTAATATAAAAAACTAGGACCAAAGCTAAATAAATTTCAAAAATTTGTTGTAACACCAGATCTTCAATAAGGTGCAAATATAGAACTACAAAATAAATTATACCTGAAATTCTAACTTTCTCGAAGATTATCAAAAATTCTTTCATTTATCCAACTTCTCAAAACAATCATTTTGATATTTACAACTATATGCCATTTCTTAAAGAGAAGGAAGCCATTGAACTAGTTTTGACTTATAATTAAAATTTCCTGAAATTTTAATTTAATTTAACAGTTCATACTTTGTTCACCCATTATTACTTGGCCAGAGATTGAATTCAGAATTTTCGCTCATACAAGCATGCAATGGTTAATTTGATTAAAGGATGGTTGTAATGAATCTGCTAGAAAAAAAACATAATATATATTAATTTTTCGAAATATTATAAGAGTCTAATAATGCATTATCCATCCCCGATATTCCCTTTAATTCAGAAAGTGACAAGCGAGAGCAACGTAGGGAAATTAGGGAGAAATAGAAGAAGAAGAAGAAGAGAAGGGAGGAGCAAAACGACAAGGGAAAGGAGGAGGAGCAATACGACAAGGGAAAGGAGGAGGAGGAGAAGAGAAGGAAGGGAAGGAAGAAATCAGATAAGGTAAAAAAATGGGTTTATGATTTAAATAGTTAGATTTTGATATTTTCCTAACAAAATAATTTCAACCAGGGTTCTAGGTTTTTAAGCTTGTATGAGGAGTGAATTTGTGCTTGTTTACAAAAAAAAGGGATTTCCGGGAGTCTATTTTGAATAGACAAATCATCAGTTAAGTCAGATTTACAACTTACAATACACAAATTAATTGTTTTCAATCTTTTGCATGTGTACTTATATGTGCAATAGAATAGTGTTTAAAATGCATTGTAAGAACTTCATATTCTAAAATACATATTTACGTTCCTAAGAACAAGAACCACATAAAATGTTGGCAGGTACAAGCCCACAAATAAGTGTTCTTTTGATTATATAAATGTTATGTTAGTTGGTCCTGTTAAAAGGAAGCATCTGATAACTGTAAGTTACTCAATTCTATATAAAAATATTTAGTGTGATTGAACATGACTTAAATATTTATTAAAATATTTAATTATGAAAAAATATGGAGCTTAAAAACTTTCATGTCATGAGGGGATAGATTAGCAATGATATGTTTATGATAACAGCTTAGATAATGCAAAAGGTCCCCCAATGAAGCAAAAATGCCCACATGAGATTCAATAGCAATAATACTTGGTTCAAACTAGACTCTATTGAATTTAATGATGTAGTCTTCAGACTAAGTTTAGGATGTACAATAGCCTAAATGACCATAAATGACACATTATAAAGCTAAAATGAAATGCAAGGCAATGGAAAAAAAGTAAAAGTAAATTTTCATGCATTAAAATTACTTGTGCAAACTCCTATCTCCTAATACAAATATTTTATTATAGATTTTATATGTTCACTGTTTTAGTAATATACGGATCACATGTATTTTTTTACAATTTGTCTATTCATGATTAGCACGGATGTTATTTAAGGTTCTTCATTATTCAAGTTTGTATTAGAATTAGTTATCTTACCAAGTTTCATAACTCATTGGATTGTCATGATTATTTCTGAAGGAAAGAGAAAAAAATAGATGAGGCTAAGTATGATCGATCTCATTTAAGGGATTAAATTTTGTTGTACAAGTACTATAAAATAAAAAATTCTAAAGTAGTCATCAAATGAAATTTATTCCTTATTCAGCATTTTGGGGTCTTTTATTTGTGTGGATATATTAAAATAAAGGGATTTTACATACATAGCACTCAAAACAATTTTAAATACATATTTCACACTCAAAACATCATATTTATGTATTCCACGCACAAAACAATCCTTGCTTACTCTTTGTTCCCTGTAGGCCTAATCTTGTGTGGAACGACTTGCCCTACTCCAAGCTCTCTTCCCGTCATACAGGGAAGCAACAGGCATGCCTCTCCCCCGTCTCTATTGCATGCTTCCATAAGTCACAAGGAGTTTCTCCTCCACATCCACGTGGCTCTTAAACTTGAACTAATGTCATACACTCATCATCACATTCCCCATCAACGAACTTACCCAACTGAAAAAAGGCGTGCTCTTCTACCCTACGGAATAGCCGGCGCCAGTTGCATTATTAGAGATGAGACGGATAGGGGCATTTTCTCCATAGGGCAACATTTTACACATTGGAATAGTGTTGAAGTTGAGCTCCAAGCCATTAAATCTCTTAAAACTATTTGCCAGCCATGGATGCTTGAGTGCAAGGGGGTCATTAAAAAAGAAGATAATACAAACATCATGCTATTCTTACAAAACTCCATGAAGCAAGACATATGGCATCAGCAACCATCTATTGCATCAGACCTTGCTTTTTTGTTAAATTTGAGAAAAGTTTTGTTTCTTCATATATCTCGGGAATGTAATAGGGCCACCCATTTTTGTGCTAAGCGTGTTAGAGGGTCTTTTGTTTTGATGCATGTGGACAACGATATGGAACTCTCTACGATACTGGTAGATGATGGATCTCACTTTTTGTACAACATAGATGCATACATGCATAATTATGTACTTCTTTTGACTTAACAATCCAAATGCATATTTTCAAGGAAAAATAGATTATCACTTGCCCTTCCATGCCAAACTTCACATTCGCGTTTTTCCAATCTGCTTGTCATTCTAGATGCAAAAGCTTGTACCGAAATAGCATGCCCTCCACGGCATCAAACCACGCATCAAGCATAAATAGTGATCCACATTCACCAGCCAATATAGTCGGCTCTCCTTCACCATTAAACCAAACTCATGGGTTTCAGTCGAAGGGAGTCGATTCAAGGTCATATTAAGGGAGTCAATTCAAAATTGTCATGCCCACATAGGTGGGTCAACCTTTTAAAATTTCAGCTCAAATTAGCAGACTTATATCTATCCATTGGCTGGCTATTAAATAAAATGTGGCAATGATAAAAAAAAAAAAGCAATGGAAGATGCCTAACCCAATTTGATCAAAACAGCAACAGAAATTCTAGTGCAACTGAAAAAAAAAATAAATCCAAGCAGTTTCTTATTTTCTTAATGCTTGAACCCTCCAATCTATTAGATAAAGGTATAAAAAATAAGCAGGCCTCAATCGATGGTTAGCTTGCCTCCATTTGGATTTAGACGTCACCGAACTCTGATCAAAAATATATTCCCTCAACAAAGCAAAGATAAGGTTGTGTACATGAATCTCTCAACATGACTAACACTGGTGGAATCCTCAAGCTTTGCCTACATGCTCATTACACATAATATTTTATTATGTCAAATACTTTTGGAAAGTCCCAAAATAATTTTTTTAACTAACATTTCATAATCCCGAGAAAAGATGATATGAATCTAGTGGTTGGAGCATTCATTGAAAACTAAGCTTCACCATCATTTACATCATCAACTTCATAAAACTTACCAGGTAAAGTTTTCCCATCCTAAGTGGTCATTAGCAAGGTCTAGCCTTTTTTTTTCTTTTTGAAAAGCTCCAATAATAGGAAGTCCAATCAATCATAATTCAATCCAAACACTTTTATGTTACCACAGCACATTCTGTAATAACTCGCCTTTTTCTCCATGTATTTCTTACCATGCTTATTTTACAATACTTATTTCACAATAAATATCCACCCTTTATATACCTCAGCATACTTTTTCAAAGCAAAACAAACCTCGTTATAATCCCAGTAGCTTAAAATAGCCAAAAGCATCCTCAGAGAACAGTTTTGCTGTAGCCCAACAAAAAAGAGCAAAAAGTTCCTTCATCTAAAATAGTACATTATATGAAATAGACAAGCATATAATGACCGCATCCCATTAAAGATGGAAAATTTTTTGCAGGGTTTACGTACCTAGCATAGCACTCAATTCCTACGTATTTACATATCTAACTTCTAAACTTTAAATTCTACATACATGCCACCTTACCTATGCATGAAAATGGGTATTACACTTTTTAGAAGTTAAAACTGTGCTATTTTTTATGTGATATGAAAGAATTTGGTGGTATAAATGTAAGGAAGTAAAGTTTAGATGTTACACATGTGAATACATAGAAATTAGGGGGTATGTATGTAAATACCCGAGTTTTCTTTTCAATTATCACTAGTGTTGGACGTGTCAATCCCATGAGATGAAAGATATTATTCAGATTTATTACCATTTTATTTCGGAGATGGACTTCTAATGTCTCAGGCATACAAAACGAGATAATTGGTGCTTACGTATAGGATACAATTAAGAATTAATTAAACAATTAAATGTAACAAAATGTTGAGCATAAACTACAATTCAATCATTGTTTACAGAATGAATATATTCTTAAGATTGACTAAGGATTAGCATTCAGAAATGGGAAGAAAACCTGAGGGAGAACGAGAAGAACAGGAAATATTATGCCAGCAACATCCTTAACAAAATCATACTGGTGCAATGCAATATCCAAAACCATATAATCAAGGCACAATACAGCAACATCACTGGCTTGACATGCCATTTCTGAGCCTGCATTTTAAACCATTAAATTATATGGCAATAAATATTGGAAAATATACGCAAAAAAAAAGTATTATGCTTCTTAAACTCATAAGTATTGTTAAGAAATTACACAAGCTAACAATCAGAAAAATCACACGAGAAAATGCTAGGGGAGAAAAATAAAAAAGAAAACGCCATTTTTTATTAAATTTCAACCAGAAAATTGCCTATGTTGAAAAAGCTCAATGTTTACAACAATTTTTAAGAAATAAAGCATAAAAATATACTGATAAAATCATACAGGTAAAAAACATTACTGTAAATAAAGCTCCAGCACAAATTTCCATGTAGTAAGCAGTATAACAAACAGGAAAAACACATTAAGCAGGCTTGATCTCAATATTACACTGCATATATCTAAACACACACACACATACATATCTGGATTTCTTAAAAGTTACCACGCTAAAAAATGGAAATACTGCCACCAAAAGCCAGATCATGTTGTGCCACCACATAAGAACTGTTTCAAACAAAGAAAGATTGACATATCTACTGCCAAACAAAGAGTAGATTGATATATCTAATCTTCTAACCAAAAGTGATCTAGCACTATAAATGCCATTACAACGACAATTTTTGTCAAAACATAAACAATAAACGAGTTTTACACAACAAATTTTACCAAACATATCAATAACCAAAAAGGAAATTTGCAGCAGTTATCTGGTAGTCATATTGTTTCAGTATGTAACACAGGTGACTGCATTTGGGTTATCACTTATAGATCGACCATCTGAAAATATTTAATCACTTTCTAAACCTTCCTCCATAATCCAATCACTTAAAACCTAAGAAATGATGGAGAATTCCACAAAAATTTAATCGGTCGAAGATCAATGCTTCGATTATGGAGACTTGGCATAACAGGAACAAAGACTCGGTAGACCAAAAGATTTTAAATAAGAATTAATAGCTAATATTTGCGTGAAAATAATTGCAAAGCAGAAACCCAAATATGTTAAGATAAGTAATGAGGTATTATATATTGGGACAAGTACATAATAGGAATAGCGAGAAAACGGTAGTACATAGAGGGTTTAATGATAAAATTATTGAGTTAATTAAAGTAATAGGGTTATTGATACTTAGACTATCATTGAGAGCGTTATAAACATGTTTAGTTCTTATCCTCCTCAAATTGAAAATGAAAATTTAAAATACTATTTTTGTAATAGAACAATATGCAATTACAGCATTTACTTGAGGAAGATGTGACAATTCTTGTTGGCAACTACATATAACTTCTAGTATGATAGAATGTGAGAGAATTCATTGTGGTTATGTAATAGGAAATAAAAATGTGATGGAGAAACCATGATTGATTTATAGCACTTGACCTTTTAAAAGTGGTCGTGTGCTTTAAATAATTATAACAGCAATAAGTTACAAATCATTAATAGAAGTTTTCCTAGTTAGAAGGCAGCATAAATATATATGCCAAAATTAGTAAGATGACTATAGAAAAAAAAAAAAGTAACTATACAAACACATACGAAGTCATGAAGCTATATCAAGAAATATAAAAAAATGATTAAAAAAATAATTATCATGTGATAAAAGATTGAACCTTGGAAGGTGAGAAGATATTAATCTCTCGAGAAAGGATATCTAGAAAACAAATTGGAAAAATACAATTGAACCAAACTTCTGGGGATAAGATGGAGTTTTAAAATATATCTCATATGTATGAAAACAGAGTGCTAGAGAGGAGAAAAATATTTTGAGCCTTGCAGTGACAATATAGTAAAGCTAAAGTTTAGCAAGAAAGAAGCAAGCAAAGCAAGAGATGACATAAAAGACTAAGAAAAATAGACTTGCATCAAATAGTATGTTGAAATTGATTAATATATATATATATATATATATGGAAAAGCAATAACTAACAATAATAGTGAAGCAACTAATGACTTCACAACCACAATGGAACTAATCAAGAATCAACGATAAATATGTAAGCTTTAGTATAGATTAGAGAGATGATAACAAAAGATGTTCAAATTAAGGAATCATGTGCCGACAATTCGTAGACCTTATACCAAAGAAATCTTATCCTAAAATAAGTAAAAAATTTGGAGCAATAAATGGTTAGAAAAAAAAAGTTTTTGAGCCTATGTACGTGTGTCTGTAAATTTTAGTGCCTAAGAAATTGATAATTAAGAGTCAAAGCTGCTAGAGAATCAAGTAAAACCTAGGTTTGATAAGTAGTGCTATAAATGAACCAATGCATTCGGTGAACAACTCGAACCTGGCTTGATTAACACTCAATTGAATTTTTTCAAATTACTAAATAAACAAATTTGAATGTCTTTAAAAATTCAAAGGTTAAATAAACATTGTCCAGCCTATAAATTTTTGTTCCCAAACAAACTCATTTATTGTTCAACAAGAAAATTATTAAAAACTTAATATTAATAATATTATAGCTCATATCATATATAATATATTATTCAAAAAAAAATTTGATTAACTATACTTTTTTGCTTTTTTATTTTTTAAATTAATTTAGTTGTCATTAGCCAATATACATATTAAGTTGATGTGATTATTTCCTATTTATTTATCTAAACTAGCTTATCTACACTTATTTATATTACTTGATTGTAAGAAAGTTGCTTGTAACTAGTATCGAATTATTTTTAACTTACGTAAAATAGTTTGATACTAATTTATAATTTATTCATACCTCTGTATTTAGATCTATAAAACCATTTGTGAGAAAATTTATATAAAAAGTTAAGTATTTAGAAAAATAAACTTGCATCACAAGTATGTTGAAGTTGACTAACAAATACATGGTAAAGCATTAACAACCATTAAAAGCAATAATGTAACTAATGAGATCCCAACCACAATGTGACGCAGCAAGAATCAACAATAAATATGTAAACTTTAGTATAGATTAGAGAGATGCTAACAAAAGATGTTCAAATTAAGGAATCAGGTGTCAACCATTTGCAGATAACATATATTTAATCCAAAAAACCTATGCTAAAAAAAGTAAAAACTTAAGAGCAATAAATGTTTAGAAAATAAAAAGTAGCTTAGGAAGTAGAAAAAAGTTTTTGAGCATGCCTGTATGTGGGTGCATAATTTTAATGCCTGAGAAATTTATAATTTAGAGGCACAGCTACCAGAGCATCAAGTAAAACCTAGGTGGGAGAATAGTACCATAAATAAACCAATGCATTCGATAAACAACTTGAACATGGTTTGATCGATATTCGATTGAGTTCGTTCAAAGTACTAAATAAACAAATTTGTACGTCTTTAAAAACTCGAAAGTTAAATAAAGCAAAATTAAACATTGTCCAACTTGTAAATTTATTTTGTAAAATACTTCATTTTTTGTTCAACAAGTAACTTGTTAACTACTCGATATTAAGTTTGATGATACATCATATCATATATAATGTACTATTTAAATAAAATTTGGTTATTTTTTTTTTATTTTTCAAATAATTCATTTATCATTAATCAATATGCATATTAATTTAATTTGGTTCTTTCTTATTATTTATTTAAATGAACTAGTTGTTTGTACTTATTTATATTATTTTATTATAAGAAATTTTGCTTGTAACTTAGATTATCATATTTAATTGATGTAAAATAGTTTAATAATAATTCAGAATCTATTTAATTGCTTATCTGTTTAGATTTTTAAGATCATTTGTTTAGAACTTTATATGAAAAGTAAAGCACTTATTCAATTGATTAGGTCATTTATTAACTCCGTAAAGTATTCATTCAATTAATATAGACAAGCCAAGTAGTAAACAAGTATAATTATTAAAAATTTAAACAAGTCAAGTATGAAAATACATGTGAAAGCTTGTCGCAAGCTTGAGCTGAGCATGTACTTAAAAAATGATCAAGCTAAGTCCAATGCACGACAAACCCAATTATAGTCCTAGGGATTGGTACACATCTCCAACTCATTATTAAAAAAATTTTCAGCATAAATTTCCTTAAGTTGTGCATTGTTCAAGCCAGATACGCCATGCACTAGAGGTTCAAGGTGTTGTTTTATTGTGCATTGTTTAATGTTGACAACTATGATTTTATTCCACTCCCATTACATTTAAAAAGCATGCTTAGAAATGAAAAAGATTATCCATAAAACAAAATCCAACAAATAGCACAAATTATCAATTTAAATAACACAAATTAATTTATCATATAAACAGTACAATCATATATGTTCTCAAGACTAGAGAAAGCATCAAAATCATGAGTTAATCAAATGAACTGAACATGATACATCAAAATAGCAATGACAACCATTAATACCAACAACAAAACAAAATTAACAAGACTCACTTTTTTTAATTATATCCATGCACCTAAAAAATACATTGCAATATGCCTTGAGAAGAGAAGCTGAACTAACTATTTTGGATAGCCCATTAATAGATAATGCTGCCTGGACGACGGTAAGATCATCATCCAAAAGCCGGCATATTATAGCATCTTTTACATCAACAAGTTTCTGCACAAAATTATATATTAAATTTATGATCTAAAGTGATTCCCGCAAGGATGCACATAAAGTGATTTGGTTTATAAACTAATAAAAGAAGTACCAAAGCTAACTTTTAATAAAAGTAAAAAAGACTACGCACCCATGGATGCTTTACAACAGACTCCAAGTTACCGGATGAAGCTAAATCTAATAGTGTGGCTCGACGAACAGCAGCCTGCATATAATTATCAATCATTAAGCACCCTTAAAGTTGAAGTTAAAAAAATATTATAGGCAAAATGTGAAATATGAATGCTTTGTATGGAGGAAATAAAGACTAAAAAACAAATGAGAAAACTACAACAAAAAGTATGTAACTGAGCAGATTAGAGAAAGAGGGGAACTAGGAATATGACTACCTTTGGATGTTCTAGAGAAAACCAAACTTTAGAGTCAGATAGTTTCATTGGCACGTCTGAATTGCCATCAAGCATCTCACAAAAAACTGCAAATGTAGAATCCTCCTCCCCTAACTTCATTTTCGAATTCTGAATGACAAATTATCGTTTTAGCTACAGCTTATCACATTTCCATAAGATTATTAGCTAATAAAAACAAGCGCAACACAAACCTCGATAAATTTATGAACGGCTCCCTGCAACTCAGATGGAAAGTGCTTCTTCATCACAACCAAAATTTGCTTAGCCCGAATACCTAAGAAACAAACTAATTATTGAAAATGAATCCATGCATAAAAACCTAAAGCACTCTGGGAAATGATTCATAGAAGCACAACCCACAGAGACGTCAAACTAGCATTACCTGCTGGACTTGAATTTGAAATGTCAGGATGTAAGAATTTCATACACTGACCGAAGATCTTATGGACAATCTTTTCCACAAAAGCATTGACAGGAAGTGTTTCCAGCACATTAACAAGCAAATGATGATAGCAGTCATCAGACAAACTGCAAAAAATTTAATGATGAATCATTTTTTTATAATTTGTGAAAGACTAAAACACTGTAGAAAAACTGTAAACCACCTGCAATCAATCAGTGATTCTACATAGAGACGAAGAAAGTTTCGGATATTGAACTCTTTGGACAATCCATAAAGTATGCCAACAAAATCCCTTCATTAGAAAAAAAAAATATTCAAATGAGCCCATGAACTGAAGGGATTTATTACCATATCTGAAAAAGTACAAAAAACAATATATAAATTCTAAGTGCAATAACCTTATCTCTTTCAACATCATTATAGTCTTCTTTGGCAAGGCATGTGCTGACTGAGACTGGATGAAAACAGCAGTAAAAAAAATGTTAGGCCAGAAAAGCACAAAAATAGGAGCAAGATGGTTGAGTATTATCAGATGCAGTGCATCACATAAGTACACAACACAAGCACTTTAATAAAAATCAAAGTCGTGTTCATATATACATCCAAATTGCACTGTATAGTTGGTTAATAGCATGAGGCTCACAATGGCATTCAAATAGATGACCTCAATATTTTGTGCTAATTTTACTCATTTGAGATATATATTTAACTCAACTAGAGTTTAAACTGTCTTACGAGTGATGCATTAGAGATCTAGTTGAGCAATCCACAAACATATGAATATAGCATCAAATACATAAACAAAGTAAATATAAGTTTTAGTATATGGCATAACCAGAGAAGATAGACACTTTATCTTCGATATCTAGGAATGAACGTAAGGAACATTTATGTAGTCTACACTACATCCGGGTCATTGTAACACCCAACTTTTTTTAAAATTTTTGTAACACATGCGTTTCAAATAGAAGGGTAATGAATAAGGCCCTTAAGAGGAGACGGAAACAAAAAGAGAAAGGAAGCTATAAGGTGAACAAGTGAAACCCCTTTAATAGACAAACAACTTTGGGTATCTAAGAAGCAAAGCAAAGAGCTGAAGGCGGAGCAACTAGCATCGTGTGGTCCATGATCAAGCAGCAAGCGATGGGTGGGTTTCGTCGAGCAGCTCCTGGGGCAAAAGATGACGATCCGTTCCTGCATGAGTCGAGGGCTTGAACAAAAGATAAGATAGGAAGGCTATCTCGGGTTGGAAAACATGAAGATGAACAGTGTGACAAGTGTGCGGCATTGCAAACTAAAAGGGGGGTCCCGTGCAAGTTCTAGAGCGAAGCAGACAGATTTAGGAAAGGAAGGCTAGGACAGAGGACTCTTATGTGTTGAGCATGGATTTCAGTATATTAATAAGGTTAGAATACCTTATTTTATTAATGCTCTCTAGAAAATATTATTTAAAAAAAATAATGAAAAAATAAGAAAAGAAATTAAATTTATAAAATAGGTGATTAAGTTAGGATAATTAGACAACAAAAATTTAAAAATTCATATTTATATATGCATTCATTATAAGTGATAATTATCAAGAGATTATGATATCTACTTTTTAATAATAAAATATTAAACTAAAATAAATAGTTTGTAAAGTTACTTGTAAAGTTACTATTGAATAAAAATATTAATTATTACTTAAAATAATAATTAAAATAGTATTAAGTTACGAACAAAATTGAAATAAAAATAAAATAAAATAAAATGATATTAAAGATTTAAGTGAAATATGAAATTAAAGTTTACAAGTATTTAATTAAATTAAAAATTAATTGGATATTAAATAAACTTTAATACAAACTGTAGATATTGATTAAATGTGTAGTATTGAAAGTGGCATGAATACTGAAATGAAAGATTCAAACCAACAATTAAAAAACATATTTAGTTAAAGGATTAATTAAACATAACTAAATAGTATATTTAAATTTTATTATTTAAGATATTATAAACAGCTAGCTATTGGAGACAAAAATTAAGGATTTTCAAAAACTTGAGGCAAGTCAGTTGACCAAAGTGAGTACTAATACTTTCAAGTTACAGTAGCATCAGTGACTTTTTCTAAACCAATTGCATGGACAGTTTTTTAATGTATTTGTAAGACTTTACTTTGATTCTTCTATTCTTAACCTTTTTATCGTTCACAACAATATTTAAATATGAAAATATTTATGCATTATTTATAAAGTATTATATACCTAGTGATATGAAAATGTGACTGATAAAAACTATATAAAGTAATTGCATGTGTATGTTGCCTATGATAGAGTTCACCCTCTTCTGGTATTAATGAGGGACATTAAAGTATTTGTGCATGTAAAATTTTAAATATTGACATTGAAGTATCTTAAATGTTACAATTTTAGGCAATACTCTTTTGACGATTGTATAGATATAAAATGATATAGATATATTATGATAGAGTAAAATGCATTGAATATTTCAAACTATATGAATGATCCTATGTAAGAAAATTTTGTTTAATATTTGTATAATCATTTATACTACTTATGATGCATGTTGTTTTCTTTTTGTTATGTTACAGCCCGTTAAATGTAGGAGCACTAACTTGCCTTTCTAGCTTATTATTATTTTAAATTAGTTGTTGATGTTTAATCATTTAAGAAAACGAGTACTAGAGAAGAGAATGCATATAGAATACGTAAATAACTTGAACAAAGGTAAATTTAAATGTATTACTATAATTCTTTTTGTAGTGGCCCTTTTTTTTTGGATGAATAAATGTTAGTTATAGAAAATGAAAAATAAAAAAATTTGATCATCGTCGTACAACCGTTTGTACCCATCTTGAAAAATTCCAAGCCTCTGCCAGGTCACGGCTATCATTATAAGGTATGATGATAAAATTTGTAACCTAAACACAAATCCAAAATCCACATTTGGCCATCATATAGTATGTTCAACCTAATGTACCTTAAGATGCATCCATTATGTAGTATCTTTCTCAAAATAGTACCATACAAATTCTTCAATTGCAAGTACCAATTATTTTGCTTTATTATAGAATTTCTTGTTACTACTTCGCTACTTTATGCCTCTTCGCATGCTACCATAAAAAGGGATTAAGAACTTACAAAATATTTTGGTGTCTCTTCATGAAAGTTTCTATGGGTGTGAAATAATCTTTAATTTCAAGTGAGACTAGAATTTTCTTGCATGCAATGCTCTTGCTCAGGAGCTATTAGACATTGATTCTGGTTCTTATTCATTCTTCCACTCTTGCTTATCTTCTATATTAAGTTACAAGATGCAAGATGTAACTTGATTTTTAATTTCTAAGAAAATCTCAAAGCAGTACTCAAGTATTTATAAGCCCAAAAGATCAACTTTCATAAGCCAATCAAAAAGAATCAACTGGCATGCATAAAAATAAGGTTTTTAAAAATGAACCAAACATCAAATTTGAAGGAGAAGGTTAAGTTCGAAATTTAAAGTAGGGTTGAATTGGAGGTTTAACAAGTTAATATAATAAACATTAAAATTATATAAATATGAATTAAAATAGTTAAATAATTATATAACATGTATATTAAATTTATTTATTTTTTTACAAAAAAAAAGTATAAAATCTAAGTTTATTTCATACTCCAAGATTATTGGCGCTTCTTATGTAGCAAAACTTTCTTTAGCGAAATTACATGGGCTCTCCAAGAACATTGTATCTAATAGAGATATTAGATTTGTATTTTTATTTATGAAAAACATTATGAAAATTTGTTAGGTAACCCAAATGATTTTTATTAACCATTAATCCTCAAATTGTTAGTTAGATTGAAGCGAAAAAAAAAATAGTCTTACAAGTATATTAAAATGTTTAGTCAGTTAAATACTAGAAATTTAAGAGATGTAGCTTCTTACCACTGAATTTACATACAATAATACTATAAGCAAATTAATGGATAAGATATCATTGAAATTGTTTAGGGATTGTACTCTAGAAAGCCAGAAGATTATGTCCCTTTACCACTACATGCATGTTATAACTCTAATGCATCAATTGTAAAGCATAAACAAAATTTACATGAGAAATTATAATGAAAATTGAATTGCATGACAAAAAATATTATGATGCTATAAATATTAAAAGAATACTCGAAAATATAATTAATGATGATATTTTCATGATCCATACCCATCTCAAGAGTGCTCCATGCAAAGAAGCTATATGCAAGAACTAATGATCCTTTCAAATTTAGTAGGCAACCAAGAATTGCTTTTTTTCAATACTAAAAGATATTTTTATTTATTGAGCCCAAACTTAGACAATTACCTATTGATTCGTCAAAATGACCAATTTCTAGAAATTTGTTACTTTCACCAATCTCATCATTCAAGTTTCAACAACCTACTTGGATAGGTACGAGTCATTTCATATGAAGTAATATTTCGAGAAAAATATTCAACATAGATTTTTGGCCAAGTGGAAACCTAGACCTCCTTCAAATGAAACTTATTTTGATCAAACAAAGCAAAAGATGTTAAAATAGCTCATTGTTCGTGAATTAATGTTCGACTCGTAAAGCAATTCTTGTTCGATCGCTCGTTAAGTAAACGAGTCGAATACAAACAATGTTTTAATCTCGATTTGTAAACGAGCCGAATACAAACAAATATTTTAAGCTCGATTTGTAAACAAGCCGAACACGAACAATCTTTGTTCGTTTGTGTTCAGCTCAAATTGGCTTTAAATAATTAAAAAGCTTTATATATATACTTGGTTTTAAATAGAAATCAAATTCATGTGTTCATATATGCATATAAAATTATTTAATAATGAATAATATTTTAAAATATGTACTCATCAACTAAGATTTATAATTAATTAAAATTTAGTAATTAGTAAAATATTAAATTAAAAAAATCAAACTAAAAAATAATGAATCCTCTTTTAATGTCAACCATTGGATCCCCATCATCCATTTATCAGAAATCCTAATTTCAAAAAATTATAGCTTTTATAATTATAAAACAAAACACTAACACTCTAAGGATGTCTCCTCATGGTTCCTTATGCCTTCCTCCATCAGTTCTATCAGTCTAATGGCCAAACGAGAAAGGTTGAAGCTAGCCCTAGAATTTTTATACTCTCATTTACTCATCATTGCCTCGCCACTTGACAGTAACACTGTAACGGTATTTGTTTACTTGTGTAGAGTGGATTCATTACAACCAAAGGCTTTTTATGGGATTCGATTGAGAGCTGTGCTAGGGTTTATCTTCTCTTATCTTTCTTTCTACTATTTAAGTTCTTCTAAAGGGAGCCATATTCAGGTGTTGTTCTTCATCTCTCTTCTTCAATCTATTCTTATTGTGTTTTTGTAATTATATTGGTGGTAAATTGGAATTGTTTTAGTGAGATTTTTCCAACATGTTTTTCTTTTTTCTTGG